TGGTAAGATAAATATTCATTTTGACACTTTGTTATAGGGCCCTTCTACACAGCCATATAACCCAGAATATCCAGGCAGATAATTCACATTATCTGCTTTGAACTGGGTTATCTGAATCCACACTGCCACATAGTCCAGTTCAATGTGGATTTTATACAGCTGTGTGGAAGAGGCCATAGTTACTGTTGGTTTGTGACCATTTAAATCTTCTGCACAGGAACAGGAGTGTTGAAGTCTCTTCTTTGTTCCCAAGGTAAACTCTAGATCTAAGGTTCCAGGTAGTTGTAATTTACTATGAGCTACAATATTTCTGAATATAAGGTAGTGTATAATGCAGTCATTCTTGAGTTATTTTGGAGCTGTCAGTGAGCCACTTACCACCTATTTTCTCTTCTCCTACATGGGAAGGGCCAACCTGACTATTTTTAAATTTTGTAAACAATAAAAATAATTCTTAAAAGACTAAAGATGTACCAAACAATTTAACAAGTAAAAAAAACAATTTAAGACTGCTTGAAATAGTCTAAAACAATTACAAACTATGCACATGTGACAGTGTGTAAACTGCTCAGATTGTAAACAAGTTTCTGATCAATATATGTTTTAACATGCTCAGTTTTTAAACAAATCAATTTGAAACATGGTTTCCAAATCTGCCTTATTTAAATGTGAATAGTTTCTCCCATTTGTTTAGGTATCTGATTATATTTATAACATGTGTATCCCCGCCAAATCTGAATGAAGTTGGCAAAATATAAAACTCCAGCAGATGGCATTATAGTCTTCCCTCATAAAGCTTAGCATTGCAGCATGGGGTGCGGCAGGAGATTGATATTAAAGAAGCATGTGAAGTTTGCTGTCTAGCTACTTGTCAATAGCACTATACATACTACAGCAGCTATTGGCAAACCCAGGCCCGTAAGCCGGATGCGTTCCCTTGGGCTCTTTTCTCACTCCCTCCTCTTTCACCATCCTATCCCTCCCTTCTCTTTCCTTCTTCCTTCCTTCCCTCCCTAACTTCCTTACCTCCCTTTTTCTCCCTCCCTCCTTGCTTCCCTTTCACTCTTTCATCCTTCCTTCCTTCCCTCTTTTCTTCCTCCTTCCACTCTCTTTTTCTCCTCCCTCCCTCCCTTCTCTTTTTCCTTCCTCCTTTCCTCCTGGGGAATGCTGAGCCGAGAGAAGAGAAGGTAGAAAGGGAACATGAGAACCATGTTTCAAGATTTAAGAGGGTGTCCAACTGAGGAAGAGGAGGAGGGGAAAAACTGACTTTCTGCTGTTCTAGAGTCAGGGGCACAAGGGAGCAGTGGTTTCAAATGGCAAGGAAAGAGATTTGACTGAAAAGATTAGGAAGAACTTCCCAAGAGTAAAAGCTGTTGGAGAGTTGCATAGGCTGCTTAGGAGTGTGGTAGAGTCTCCTTCTCTGGAGATTTTTTCACAGAGGCTGTCTATTGGGAGTGCTTTAATTGGGCCTCCCTGCATGGAAGGGGGTTGGACTGGATGGCCCTTGGGGTTCTCTTCCAACTCTAGGATTCTAAGATGCTATATCAGAAATAGGCAATATGGGTTTCAATTGATACTTTTTTTTCTCTCCTGTCCACCACCTCATCCTGACCAAGACCAACGCTGCGGGTTACACTGTATTTTAGCTCCTGCGTATTCCTCTCCTTCAGCTTTCAGGCAGCAGAATGGTCACAGTGGTCTGGTGGTGGCAGTAGTGGTGCTGTCTCTGGACAAGCCCCATGTATTACGGGCAGTCCGGGAGCTGGAGGAGAAGGCTGCGACTACCAGACCCAGAGAAGAAGCTAGAAAGGGAATATGATTATGGGACCTTGTTAGCTGAGGAGGGCTTTGAGCAGCCAAGAAGGGAAGGAATTTAGTCTGTTCTGGTAACCTAAAAAGAAGCACTGGCCTCCTCTTCTTTCTCTGACATAGTAAGGAAGTGCTAAAAAGCAAGCTACTGTCATTTTTGTACAGGCGTTATAGAAATCCAGAAGTGCCATTGTACACAGAAGTATTGCATTGACATGTGAATAAGTTGACTTGGTATTTATGTAAACATTATTGGATATTTTGGTCTCTCCTAGGGGCATTGCTGTAGGGACAATAAGGATTTATGCTTCAAAATTCGTAGAAACCAAAGAAACCAGAAATTTTGTTTGGACATGACACTTACATTTTCCACCCAGTTAAGTTTTTTGCTTTAGTATTGCAAGAGGCCAATTGAGAGTGATAGGATAACATGTAGATTTCCTAGACATCAAGCTGTGGCTTAGTGTCTTGTGCTAATTTCAACTCTATAAAATAGAGTAATATTTTTACTTTATAATATTCCATATTACAGATAATAACCTTTTATCAGGTAATGGGGCATAAAATAAATCTTTATTTTTGAAGAAAACAAATGATGTAAAAGTTTGGATTGTTCATTGAGCACAGCTATTTACTAGACTTTTTAACTGGTATCCAAAATTGAAAGTACCTGAGAACAGACAAGAGATATCAGAAAATGCAAATATATTATAGCATTGTGTTCAGAGTTATGAAAATATTTTCTGGTGGGGTTTCCAATAAGTGAATGGGACATCAGTAATTAATTCATAACTAAAGTAATGTATATTTTGGAAACTCAACATATTAAGTAAAGCAGTTATTTTTAAAGTTTAAATGCTGTCTACTTATAAATGAATTGAATTAGCAAAGTGATCCTTAAAATATACACAATGTGATAAGAATGATAGATTAAGGTAACAGTTCAGGCTAAATTATTAGAAATACATAGAACTAATGAACTGGTATGAACTGGAAACAATACACTGACAAACTATATGAAACGGATGAAAGAATTACAGGTTAATTCAAGGAAGAACCATTTGAAGATGAAGCTACAGTTTTAGAAAGTTGGGTGGAAGCTGCACTCAGAGCACTTGGGAGAAATAAATCACCATGAACAGATGGCACACCAATAGATCTACTTGAAGCTACAAAGACAAAATCCACTCAAGTTAAAACTCAAATCTGTCAACAAATATGGAAAATAGAGCAATGGTCACAAAGTGGAAACATTCAAGAAAGGGGAGAACAGGGATTGCAGTAACCACAGCATTATTTCATTCACCCCATGGGAGCAAAGTCATGCACAAATTTCTACTACAAAGACTTTTACTAGAAAAGGATTCAAGGCCCTTCTACAATGCCAGATAATCCAGGTTATCAAAACAGAAAAATCACATCTGATTTGAACTGGATTATCTTAGTCTACACTGCCATATAATGTAGTTCAAAGCAGATGAGTATTTTATAGAGCTGTGTCGTAGGGGGCTCAGACGAAGAAGCAGTTATGAGAGATATATTGCAAACCTACGTTGGATAATGGAGTGCATCAAAGAATTTCAGGAGAAAATAAGCTTATGCTTTAGATTACCCCAAAACCTTTGACTGTGTAGATAATGAAAACTGATGAAGCACGCTTAACAAACTGGATATGCTTTGTCATTTGATTGTCCTGATGCATAACTTGTACTTAGGATGATAGTAATCCTAGAAGTAGTGCAGTAGCTCCTTACAAACCTACACTTCTATCAGACTTTGCACCTCATCACATGGAGAGAAGGAAGCATCCTAGCATGCTGCCAGGATGCTTCCTCGATTGAGCCCACCAGATGCCATCACCCAACGTAAGGCTACTTCCAGCGAGGCTCCATAAAGAAAATGTCCTGGCAGCATGCTAGAACCTTCCCTGAGAATACTGGAGGCTTTCCATGTTCCATAGAGAAGAACAGGGGGAATCTGGTGATGCTTCCCCTGTGCGCTAAGGTAAGGGGCGCAGTTTCTCCCCCCGACCCATGGATTTGTCATACTGCGTGGCAAATCCCCCCACTGTCCCATGGATTTGAGCCTCAATGTGATGAGGTCCTTTATCTGAATAGATTAATTTTCCAATAACCTATACATCATGCCTGTTTTTAAACAGCATTCAGTTTATAAAGGTAATATTTATTGAAAGTACTATGTCCTTTGCCCACATATCTATGGTACCTCATGAACATTTTGGCCAATTTTATTCTCACCTAGCAACTGCACTTGGTGTCATTAAACAATCTTACCCTTCAGATATCTGATTTTCTGGATGGGTTATTTCAGTGATTATCAGGGATTAGGAAGAAGAGATGGAAAAGCACCAAAACATGAGTTTGTTTCTTCTTGTGGTTCTCAACATCCATGTTAAATTAGGAGGAACAACCATGTTCCATACTTCAATGATATGGGAAAAAAAATCTTTTAGAGCATTGGTTCTCAACCTGTGGGTCCCTAGGTGTTTTGGCCAACAACTGCCAGAAATCCTAATAGCTGGTAAACAGGCTGGGATTTCTGGCAGTTGTAGGCCAAAACATCTGGGGACCCACAGGTTGAGAACCACTGTTCCAGAGTTAGATGCTGAAACAAAGAGCAAATGTCACTGGAAGCAAAGAATAATGGTCAGACCTCCTAACTGAAAATGATTTGATTTAGGAACCCATTGAATATTGCCATCATTGTTCCAGTCCTCTCTCAAGCGGATTCTGCGATAGTGTAGTTTCTGTAAACTTTATCTTATTTTGTCTTGTTCATAATGGATTATAAAATATAGTTTTTCTTTGACATTGAATGTAAGGAAATATCATGAAATATGGGGAAGGCATTTTGGTCTCATCCCTACAACGATGTACCTGAGCACATACAAGTGATGCTTGAATATTGTACTGATCCAGGGAGGTGAATTCTAATTCACAAAGGTTGATGCTAAAATGAAATTGATAGTATTGTCTCACAAGATTGATTCTTTTGTGTGTGTGCTGAACCCAGCCACTTCTTTAAGAATCAATTTACTTTGTCCATTTCATCTATTAGATTATTGCATATTTAGCTAATTGCAATAGTTCATATGAAACTTTATTAAATCAAAAATATTGATTGAATTGCCATACAGTTCTTCCATTTTTAAAATGTTCTTTTCTCTTCAGGCATTTCTTCAAAGAATAATGCAATGTGCTGCTTCTAAAATTGACAAAAATATTACAGAGGAAACAGTTAAGGTGAGTTCTTGCTTATTCTTCCTGTCTTAGAATTGATGTTTGTTTCTGTATATTTATGCTTTCTTTTTAAACTTACAGACATTGTTCTCAAATATTGAAGATATTCTTGAGGTGCACAAGGATTTTCTATCTCGTATTGAAAAATGTTTACATCCTGAACCAAATGCCCAACATGAAGTTGGAACCTGCTTTCTTCACTTTGTATGTAAACGTTGGTAACATAAGCTTCATATTTAATTGATCATCTTTTCTGCAGTGCTGCTTTTAAAAGAAAGACATTGTTGGCATGTAGTTCATGTACACTACACCGTGAGCACAAAAACAGACTCGATTGCATAATTTAAGGTCTTTTTAGGACACTTGGAAGCTAAATTGAGTGCTAAAAGTAAAGTTTTACCATTTTGTTGTCTATTGTGTGGAGTGTGGGCATCAATGTGATTTTTCATTAAGGTCCTCTTTAGCAAGCTGTGCTGGAATTAGCTGCGGTGAATTCTTTTTCACTTGCTCTGAATGGTTAATCTTTTGTTTGATCAGGAGGAAAGTTTGTTTATTGTACATTACAGTGCAATTACTGTGAAAATGAGTAGTGTTCATGTACTGTCCTGTTTGGCAAATACATGCTGTGATTCTGAAGAAAATGTAGTTTTAAACATTACACTGTGATGTGTTGTGAAACAAGTATAGCGAAATAGATTGAATGTATTATTTAGAAGAAGCAAATTCTGCTCCTTTCTTTTACAATCAAAGAAGCTAAAATGAAAATGGAGCTCTTTGTTTTCCCTGAGTTATTCTATTTGTTTTCAGTATTTAACTCATACGTTTTTAATACTTACTTTTAATCTTCTTCCACAATGTGTGGAGAGTTCAGAAATTAAATCCAGTTACATATTTATTTTTAATCTGTGTTATAAATGCTATTTTTAAAAAAATCAACAAAATAGACATAAACAAACCAACCTCGTGATATCACTAATATAAAATAATCCCTCCACCAGAAAGACAGATTTCGTATCTATGATGAATATTGCAGTAATCATGAGAAGGCACAAAAACTTTTGCTTGAACTCAACAAAATAAGAACAGTACGGACTTTTCTACTGGTAAGCTAATACTTATTCATATTTTGATTCTTATACCTGAGAAACATATAGGATTTTAATGTATGCTGCTGTTGAAGTGCAGTTTAACAATATGCTTGTTGTAACTGCTTATGTTAAAGATACTCCTTTCTTAAGAACAGCATTGCTGAACTAGATCAAAAGTCCATTTTGTCTGCATCCTATGTTCCATCATAGACACCCATATAGAATCATAAAGTTGGAAGAGATTTCATGGGCCATCCAGTCCAACCCCCTGCCAAGAAGCAGGAAAATCACATTCAAAGTACTGCCAACAATTGGCCATCCAGCCTCTGTTTAAAAGCCTCCAAAAAAGAAGCCTCTATCACACTCCGGGGCAGAGAGTTCCACTGCTGAACAGTTCTAACAGTCAGGAAATTCTTTGGTGGAATCTCCTTTCCTATAGTTTGAAGCCATTGCTCCGCATCCTAGTCTCCAGAAAAGCAGAAAACAAACTTGCTCCCTCCTCCCTGTGACTTCCCCTCACATATTTATACATAGCCCTCATCACATCTTCTCTCAGCCTTCTCTTCTGAAGGCTAAACGTGCCCAGCTCTTTAAGCTGCTCCTCATAGGACCTCCAGACCCTTGATCATTTTAGTTGCCCTCCTCTGGATGCCTTCTAGCTTGTCAACATCTCCTTTCAATTGTGTTGCCCAGAATTGGACACAGTATTCCAGGTGTGGTCTGACCAAGGCTGAATAGAGGGTAGCATGACTTCCCTGGATCTAGACACTATACTCCTATTTATGCAGGCCAACGTCCCATGGGCTTTTTTAGCTGCTGCATCACATTGTTGGCTGATGTTTAACTTGTTGTCTACAAGTACTCCAATATATTTTTCACACGTACTGCTCTTGAACCAGGCATCCCCCATTCTGTATCTTTGCATTTCATTTTTTTCTGCCTAAGTGGAGTATGTTGCATTTGTCCCTGGTGAACTTAATTTTGTAAGTTTTGGTCCATCTTTCTAATTTGTTAAGATCGTTTTGAATTCTGCTCCTGTCTCCTGGAGTATTAGCTATTCCTCCCAATTTGTTGTCATCTGCAAACTTGATGATCATGCCTTCTAACCCTTCATCTATGCCAGGGGTCCTCAAACTTTTTAAACAGAGGACCAGGTCAAACTGTCCCTCAAACTGTTGGAGGGCCAAATTATAATTTGAAAGAAAACATGAATTAATTCCTATGTACACTGCACATATCTTATTTGTAGTGCAAAAAACACTTTAAAACATTATTAAAATGAAGAAGAATTTTAACAAATATAAACTTATTAGTATTTCAATGGGAAGTGTGGGCCTGCTTTTGGCTGATGAGATAGGATTGTTGTTGTTGTGTGTTTTAAAGTCGTTTCAGACTTAGGTTGACCCTGAGTGAGGGCCGGGTAAATGACCTTGGAGGGCCGTATCTGGCCCCCGGGCCTTAGTTTGAGGACCCCTGATCTATGCCATCAAGAAGATCCTAACCTCCATTGTAAGAAGCCAACCATGCTCATGCATGTGACAACGGCAGTCATACAAGACCTAGCAGGTTGCAGCCTTACCCCCCTCCCTTTCAGCAGACCTTTCTTCTCATTTTTCCCAAGCAACTATTGTCTTCATTTGCATAATGTCTGTTATTACTGGAATATCCAAGTAGCAATTACCACTGCTATGATGTTTTCCAAACTCAGCTTGGTTTCCTAATGGTCATGTGCCAGTGAATTGCATTGTTTCTCCATTTCATTTTTACACTTTCTTGTGCAACAGGGGTCCCTGAAATTCATAATTATATTGCAAATGATGGCACAGGGTTACTGAAACTGGCAAGAAGGTTTTACCTTGTAGTGAAGAGCCATAGTTTATTTTGTTACCCAGTGCCCATGAAACAGAGACTTCCAACATTTGACCCTCTGATATCATTTGGCACTGTTGTTATACTTGACCAGAGAAGAATTTGTGGGTTCAGGAATCCTGGCAAAAGAAGTGGGATTGGGTGCAGGTCTGGCATTGGATCCTGGCCTGTGTTTCCATAGTTTTAACTTCGAATTGTGAAAGGATGGGAATAGGGTTTTCCTTGTTGATCTTAATAGACAAGAAAAAAATGGAGGGAGAAACTAGTCCTTCACACACAGAGAGCCCAGGCCATTCTAAGTTTTAAAAGAGCAACAAGTGACTTGATCTGAGTTTTTCTAGAATGTTATTTGACATTTATGAAATTAAAGTGGTATAATTTTAGTATCCTAGATTAACAGAAAAACACAACATTTTGACCAAAAGGAACTTCCAAATTGTCTTCAGTGATTGGTATAAATAAAACATTGTGGTGCTTGTCTGGCCACTTGAAAGCTGACTAGCCAAGTAGGATCTCAGAGTGATGTGTTGACATGGCAATGGATAAATTCAGTTCCAAAGCAATCAACTTCCTTAATTCCTTTATAGAACTGCATGCTGCTAGGAGGACGCAAGAATACTGATGTACCACTAGAAGGTTACTTAGTGACACCAATTCAGAGAATATGCAAGTATCCACTTCTTTTGAAGGTATGAATTTTATTTAGCTATTTGAAATATTTGAAACACAAAACATAATCTTTGCCACATTGTGTTTGACATTAACCAGTGACAATGATTTCCCTGAAACAAAGGAGATTAGTGATTTTAAAAAGCAGGAGCTCTGTTCGAGCTGTGGCTTTAGCTACAGTTTTACAAACATTTATAAAAGTTAATAATAAAGGCTATTTCAATTATTTTTCTAGCCTTTGTAGGATGTGTAAGTTTTGTTCTATTTCTGGTGTCATAAATAGACTGGAGAGACCGAACAATTGGAGAGGCACTGAAACAGGCAAATCCCAGCACTATTAAATCTTATTGACGTTATTGGGAGAGTTAACTGCACATGTTACGAAATCGGATACTGACATTAACTATAGTTTTAGTATGCCAATCAGTTTGATGTCCTCATTCTATGGCAGTGCCTATTTGGGAGTCTGTTCTACTGAATTCATGATACTTAACTCTATGGGTAGAATTGAAACCTTTGTGTCCTATAAAATTACCAGTGAAACTGAAGAAATTGATTATAATTACTTTGAAAAAATGATTTTTCTTTTTCTGATTTTTTTTAAAACAGGAGTTGCTAAAGCGAACTCCCAAAAAGCACAGTGACTACTCTCTGCTAATGGAAGCTCTCCAAACTATGAAAGCTGTCTGCTCCAACATTAATGAGGCCAAGAGACAGATGGAAAAATTAGAGGTTTTAGAAGAATGGCAGTCTCACATTGAGGGATGGGAGGTAATGTCACAAAATTTGTCATTTCATCAAATGTGGGAGGCATTTAAAAGACTGTGCATGGTACATTGTGTGCACATGGTACGTTCTTTGTATTCAGCACAGGACATAATGTGACATATTAGGAACAATCTATAACTCACAATTAGACTAAAGTGCTTTGTCCTTTTTCTTGTTAGTTAGAATAATACTGTGTTTGATCAGCCCGTGGCTGGATAATTTCCAACACCTCTACTATTTTCTAGTGGGGAAATCTGAAGGTAGAAATAAGATATTCCTTCTTATGGCAGAAAAATTCAAACAGATATTGTGAGGAAATAGAAGCTTAAGGAATATGCTTCTGTCTAGCTTCCTCCCCACAATGACGATTTGTAGGTCTAAATTCTGCCTTACTTTTTATCTGATTCATTGGGGTGGGCATGATTTGGAGAATAGTGGGTGAAAACAGATGGTGGGACTGTAGGATCTCATTGGAGTTCCTCCTAGTTGAAACCATCCTGATCTTTCCCATCTGTATTTGAAGATTTCTACAGAGCATGAATAATGCTTGCCTATCCCCAAAAGCACCTTATTTTTTCCTTCCTCAGAATACTGAAAGAAAACATGATTTAATGTTATTGTATAGACAATTTCCATGTCACTGAAAACAGTAGGAGAGAGGTGATGCTGTGGGATAAGAATAGTTGCATCATTATCACACATTAAATTCTCCTGCTTGTTGCTAATTTTGGAAACAGCACTGTTTTCCCAGTGTACTGCAGTTACATATTCATTCTGCATAATGACATGATTAAATATTTTTTAAAGAAAATGTAGACTCTAAACCAGCAGAAAAAATTGAAAATATAAACCTACTGGATTAATGCTTTTCTGCTGTACATTTATTCCATTAACTAAATATATTAACAAGATTTTTTGACTGATAACTGTTTTGGAATATATAGTTGTATACATGTCTACGGGTAATGTTGAAATCAAGAAATAGTTGTTTCTAGAACATGGGTGGACAACTGGGGAAAGCTAAGGGGCCACATTAGCCTCCTTAGAAGATATCAAATGGCCACGCGTGCTGCCACAGAATGCAATAAAAATAAAATAATTTGAGGTTTTCATCATGTTTTTGAAAAGACCTCTAAAGTGGCCCAGAAGATTACAAAATCTTAGATGTCTGTAGTAAACCCTCAGAACTGCATCTTTTTCTGTTCTTGCTTCTTTAATTTTTATCCTGATACTCTCAACCTGATTGTCAGGATTGAATTTTTGCATCTCTTCACAGGTGTAAAGATCCTTAACATATAATGCTACCTCATCCACTCTCCTATTTGGTCTATTTCTCTAAAATAATTTACAGCCCTACATTTAAGTTATAGGACCCATCCCACCAGGTTAAATGATACCTATTACAATGTAACTCTTTTGTTGAGCTAAGAGTTCCAGTTCATTTTATTTATTTCCCATGCTCTGTGCATTAGTGTAGAGACATCTAAGCCCATGGGGCATTCCCCTAGCTGGTTATTTGAGATTACTATCCTTTTTCTGCTTGGTACTTGTTCTGTTTTCCAACTCTCTCTTTAGCCTTTGGGCTGTTTTGTCTAGACATTGATAAAGTGTTGTCCCCAGGAATATTGTCACCCTTCTCCACACACCCTTCCCCACACAAATCCATCTGATTAAGTTTGTGAGTCTTTCAACAGAAACATTCCTTCCAACTTCAGTGACGTTCAATCCATCCCGTGCCAGAAACCCATCTTCCTGAGACCATGGCCTAGGAAGCCAAATCGTTCTTGACGACACCATTTGCGGAGCCAGTTGTTCACCTCTACTATTTCTCTCGCCCTTTGTGGATTGTGTTGTGCAATGAGATGAATAGACTACCTGTACATTACCATTCTTTAGTTTTCTCCCCAGAACTTCAAAATCCCTTCTGATCTTTTGTAAACAATGCCTTGCAGCATTATTGGTTCCCACATGAACCAGCAGGAGAAGGGGATGGTCAGTTACGTGGCAGATCTTTGCCTCAGGAAGACAGCATACTTCTCAAGGCAACCTGTCACGTTTGCAAAATCACCACTTCTGTTCCTCATATGACGGAGTCCCCTACTACCAGTGTACATCTCCTCTGGGAACAGACCGGGTCCTTTTCTATCCAGATGGAAATTCTGTGCACTGAATCTTTTCAGCATCAGCAGTACAACCTGTTGACTCCCATTACAGAGCCTGTTATAGAGTTGACAGACAGATTTTTCTCTTCAAATTTGTTTCTGTACTGTCAATGGCTCCCAGAGGGTTTTTCTGCTGCATAGTTTCCACCTGGGTGATGGGCTGATTCCAAAGAGTAGTCACTAATGGTTCATTTATTATATTCATTTATATCCCATCTTTCTCCCAATAATGTGCCATACTTGAAAACTATACTAATTAAAAGTATAAAAAATAAAAGCATAAATATGAGTAATTTTTAAAAGAGATAAACACTATATAAAGTTAAAACATTAAACATATTAAGCACCAGTTAAAAGACTACATGAAGCCACACAATATTAAAAGCCCACCCCATCTGTTTCTAAAAGCCTGCAGGCATGAAAACATCTTAATCTGATGACAAAAGGAGGACAGGGCAGAGTAATTCTGGTCTTTCAAGGAAGAGAGTTCCAAAATCTGGGAACAGCCACCAAAAAGGTCCTCCTCCTTGTTTCCACAAAATGAGGCTGAGGAGTTGGAGGAACAACTACCTGTCTGCATACCGCAATGGTGATGAGGCGGAGTCCAGACCATGCTGCCAGGCCATAACTGGTTTGGCTTGGTTGGACTCTCACCTGACCTTGGATGCCTCTGTCAGACTGCCTGACAGCTCTGGAGAGGAGGGCGCCTTTCATATTTGTGTTAGCAGTCAGATTTGAAGCCATATTTTGGTTACAAATTAATACTCATTATGTTTCAGGTTAGACTTTTTGTAAATGATATTTTCAACTTCAAATTGCTTGAATTCAAATGGTTTGTGCAAGAACCAACCAAGTCTTCTTCTCCATAAATTGTTCTATAGTACAAGGGACTGCTTTAATTAACTAAACATCTGGTTTGTAAGAAAGCTTATGAACAGAGAAACACACTTGTTAGAGATATTCTGTCAGAAGAAAATGCTTAGCACATTGTTTAGCTAGGAAAAGGACTATATTTAGAATCTGATGGAGGATCAAAGCATGACTTGCATTCTTACATACAAGTGTCACAAAACTAAGCTTGTGTTGGTTATGATTAACATTTTGTGGGAAAAGAGATATCATCTAAATGAATATAAATGTTCAAGCTTCAAGTATTCTTTTTAAGAATTGAACATCGGAATGTTAAATTCATTAGTCCTAAAGCAGATGTTTCCGATCATATTTGAGATGTTTAAATAGTGGATTCATTTGTTTTGTTTTGCAAGAGAAAACAGTCATTATATTGTATAGAATCACCTATGTGCATACAGGTTTTGTAGTAAGCCGGTTATCAAGAAATGTACTTTGTTACAAAAAGGTTATTTTTCCTGATGAATTTAGTTTCTTAAATATTTTATTACATTTTTGGTTTGGTATTCTGCCTTTAGGATGCAATGTTGTAATTATGTTAGTACTAGCTGGATTCCAGAGTCTACATGAGTAGAAGTACTTTCTCCTTTTTTCCTCCATGTGTTTGTTCTTATTTCCCCAGCAACATGCCACAATATGGTGATAAAAAGCATGAAAAATAAATACTCTACCAGTTTGTTCAAAGCTGTTACTATGGAAAACTAGAACGATAATGGGGCTATTCCTTTCTGGCTAAATACAGCATGTTGTAACAACAGCAACAACAGCAACAACAACAATTTTATTTTTATAGCCCACCTCCATCTCCCTGAAGGGACTTGGGGTTTACGTAGGGATGAGCCCGAGACAAACATGGTTGAAAAATACACAAATATAAAATACAACCACATAAAACAGATTTTTTTTTAAAAAAAAACAATGTTGTAAATAAATGCGACCATCAAACCAACGACCAATGAACCTGCAATAGTAAATAATTCCTGGGCATGGGTGGGCAGACTAGTGCAACTCAATTGTGAGGATAGGGCTGGTGGATAAAGTGCCTAAGTCAAGTGGTAACATTGTAATCCCTCCATTGGTTACTGCATTTTAGTATGAACTTGGAAAAATGTACTTTATGGTAGTACATGAGCTCATGACACATTCTTAATGAAGCTATTACTTGACTGGCTCATATAGTGTTCTAATCCAATATGTTTTTGCATGGTATTTAATATTCTTATGATGTAGGAAAGAAACTTTGAATATATGCTTGGAACTTTAAATAGGCCTATAAAATGCTTTCCAAAAGACTAGCTGTGAAAGCACTCTAATTGATGTACTCTGGTTTTTTTTTAAAAAGAACCTTTTAGATAAATGAATTTGGTAACTAAATAAATGAAGAAAATTAGGAGCTATTACTTTACAATGTCATAGTTCCTATTTCAGCAGAATTCTGCTTTATATAAATGGCTCAGCTCTTCAGTCTATTTGGCTTGCAGCCCTGCTCTAAACCTATTTACCTGAAACCAAGTTCTGTTGATTTAAGAGGAGCTTGGCCTAAGCAAAAATGTTTAGGGATCCAAGTTTCCATATTTCCAAATTACATTTGCTGAAATCCAAGGGGATGCATGTGCATATTTTAGGACTTGTTTACACAAATAAACATTCTTGTACTCACTTCAAATCAAGCACTGACAGTCTTCATGATGAACAGGGATTTTCAATAAATATTTCCAGTTTCTGCCATTAACCTGACTTTGTTCTTTGTTAAAAAAATTGGGGAATACTCTAGAGTTTGCAGGCATATTTCAATCCAATCTACTGTTTACATGGACACTATTGCTGTCATCAACTTTTCCCTGCCCTGATCACCACAGAGCAAAGGGATGGGTTGTTCCCATGTTGCCACTGTTGTGCTTCACTACAAGCACCTGGTCACCACAGTTGTGCCTGCTGAGGTCAGAATAGGGGTCTGTCATGCATGACCTCAGCAGATGCAACTGTGGCAGCCAAGGGTTCAGTGGGAGTTCCTTGACTGGTGGAGAGTAGCAGTAGCAACATGAAAGAGAAGGGGGTGGCCCAGCAGTGTCAATGTGGTCTCAGCTAAACTGGACTATCTGGACACCAAAACAGGGCCACAGACGGTTCAGTCTGCTGTGATCCATCACCATTATGGTTGATCTGGAGCCAAGCCAGAGCATAATGCTCTGGATTTGCCCCAATTAAGCAGCTGATATAGATGTGGCCTGCAAATCATATCCTCAAAAGCTGCCTGTATGAACTTAAATCACACTTTTAAAAGATACCTATGAATTTTGTTTTGAGGGATATGTACATATCTGATTGACTGAGCATATGCTTTGCATATAAAATGTTCCGATTTATTCCTTGCATCAGTATGGATAATATATCACAAGTGTTGCCAGCATTTTTGGCTCCTTAATCTAAGAAATCTTACCTCTAAAACCGTGGTCCTTAAAATGTGATATCACAACAACCTCTGGAGTCTCTGAGGGCATAATTTGCCTTGCAAATGTCTTTTTTAGATACAAGAATTGACTTGTCAGCTACTACTTGCTCCTAAAAAATACCCTTTCTAACCCTCAAAAGTCTAGAAAGTCAAATGCTGTACCCCATAAGCTTCTGAAGGAAGTTTCATATATTTTCATACATATGTGTGTGGCGGGGGGAGAGAAGAAAAATGGACTTCCAGATGTTGCCCACTGACTCATCTACTGACATGGAAACTTATAAAAAATGTATTGTATACACAGGAGATGCACCGTCATCTCATTAGACCATAGTCAATCATTTAATTTAGAGAAGAATGTACCAATGTGCAATAAACCAAATACTTAAACAAAAAATGTATTTTTCTATTCTTACTTAACTAAACTTGCACAATTTTTGTGAGACTCCTATAGGTATGTGTGTGCATGATGATATCTATTATACATCTGGGGCCTACTAATTTGCTCTTACCTTTCCTGATCAGGGATCTAACATTACAGACACGTGCACAGAAATGCTTATGTGTGGAGTTTTGCTGAAAATCTCTGCAGGCAATATACAGGAACGAGTGTTTTTTCTCTTTGACAACCTTTTGGTCTATTGTAAGAGGAAGCACAGGTAAGATACATTTTATTAGTGTATACTTTAATGCAGCTCCGACCCTATAATTTTAATTTTTAGTGTATTTTAATGTTAAAAACATTTTGATACTTTGACCTAACTAATATAATGCTAGCGTATGCACTTAATTTTTGAAATAGAAGATACTGTGCAGCAGTCCTGTTTATTATAGTTGAACAAAGTGCTACCTGCAACCGAAAGGGCCAGCAAGGGGTCAGCGTTATTTTTTGCCGTTTGGGGGTGCAAAATTTAGATTTTTTTTTACAGGACTGAAGCAAGGGCAGCCCTTCATAGTCTCCTGGGGGGGGGGGAGACAATGTAGCTCCCTAGCCTTCCTTAATTTTCTATCCTTGTGATAGAGGATCTTATTGCTTGACCTTCTGGGTCTTTATTCCTGTATAGTAGTGGTTCCCAACCTTTGGCCCTCCAGGTGTTTTGGACTTCAACTCCCACAGTTCCTAACAGCTAGTAAACTGGCTGGAATTCTGGGATTTGAAATCCAAAACACCTGGAGGTCCAAAGGTTAGGTACCACTGGTGTATACCTTAAGCCATGTAACAGGGTCTTCCAACCCTCTGTGGGATATTTGTAGAGGTTGGGCTTTGTGGAGGGGACTAAAATTTGGGAGAGCACATTAGCATGGAAAGAAAAAGACAGTTGAGCCAGTTTTATGTGCATAAATCTGGATCAACCCTAGATCGCTGGCAACATATATGGAGGCTGGATAGTATGCATTCTTTAAAAAAAATGTGTAGCTTCTTTAATGCAATTCAGTTAGTCTGGAATTTTAAAAATGTTAATATTTGGACAATGCACTTGTACCTCCTCCCCTCACCTCAGACGACTGAAAAACAGCAAAACCTCCTCTGAAGGTCATCGGTACCTTTTCCGGGGCAGAATAAACACTGAAGTGATGGAAGTAGAGAATGTAGATGATGGAACAGGTATGTGTGCCTGCACCAATTTAGACCATTTATTTAAATATAAATGTGCATACATCCCCTTAAAATATTCTGTTGTCATTACATCTTGTTCTTTCCACTAATTTATATGCCATATATTTGGCACTAGGTAGCTAAAGTGAAGTTGATTAAAACAATAAGAACCAAGCTTCTGTTTATATTAGACATTTATCATAGGCGCTGTTATCCTGCTGACACAACCTGTAAGCTGCACTACAGAGCTAGTAACAATACCTGATTCATGATTAAATAATCGTTTTGTAAAGTATAGGATCACTTTAGCTGCTGTGGCAGAACCTGTCATTCATTTTGCATTGCATTGGTTGGCTGCACTCTTGATAGATAAGTGGACCTGCTTCAAATTAGTGGATTGGTTTATATGTTGGTGCCTTCTGGCTGCATCTAAATTTGCCTCAGTAAACCATCAATTTCCCCCTTTAAAGAAGAATATGCATTCCCAGTACACCCTGTTTACAGTTGGAAACCTGAGTGCATTTTATGTTAAAGGAAAAGTGGTTGTTTTTTTGAGATGGTAGTCCCTGTAACAAAATTTAAGTTGTATGAATTCTCCCAATGCAATTCCCTCGTTTACATAGCCATTTGAACTCCTCCAGCTCTGTGAATTTGACTGTTTATATTTGAGTTGCTAATAGATTTAGTTCTGGGCTGCTGGTCAAACCCAGGAATAAAACCTTTGGTAAGAATGAAGATATTCCCAGCTGTTTTTCCAATTAGCTGTGGTTCATGAAAGAATGTGGAAGGAAGCAGATCGATGTAATGTTAGTATATTTATTATGAATGCAGATTTTTAAAAGCAAGAGAGGAACACATTCTTTCTTTGCTTGTAATTCTTTTGCTTATCTTAGAGTGGGATCAGAAACAAATTTGTGTTTAAGAGCATGATAAATAAATATATTGGCAATGGGTCCAAGGAAGTTACCAGATACAAAGCATTGAACCTTAAGTATAGAAAGATGGAATATTCAGAGAATATGCAATTCTACCCTTTTCATTACATTATACCATAGTAATTACAAGTATTATTAAGAATTTCTTATTGTCTACATTACTTATTTGGGGAGGGTGAAGGGAAAAAAATTAGAAACAGGTAACAGTTGGAAAACAAAATGAAGAAAATGGTGTGAGAGAATTGGCCGTCTGCAAGGACGTTGCCCAGGGGACGCCTGGATGATTTGATGTTTTTATCATCCTTGTGGGAGGCTTCTCTCATGTCCCCGCATGAGGAACTGGAGTTGATAGAGGGAGCTCATCTGCCTCTCCCCGGATTCGAACCTGCGACTTCTCGGTCTTCAGTCCTGCCGACACAGGGCTTTAACCCACTGCTCCACTGGGGGCTCCGAAGTGATAATAATGCCAACTAAAACTATTTCAATTTCAGCCTGTAACATAACAAAAATATGGAAAAGTTAAAGCAGTGAACACTTCAGAAAGAGTGAACACTTCAGAAAGACACCATATCTACTTCCCTTTTGTTTATCCAAATATTTGTATACATTTAAAAGATGTGCTTTCTGTTAATCTTTCCCAGCTGACTATCACAGCAGTGGCCACATTGTTCTCAATGGATGGAAGATACATAACACAGCAAAAAATAAATGGTTTGTCTGCATGGCAAAAACCCCTGAAGAAAAACATGAATGGCTGGAAGCGATTCTAAAAGAACGTGAAAGAAGAAAAGGTGAGAATATAAATATCCCATTGTGGAATTTTCCTGTAGTCTTACTAGTTCTCACTTTCCACAGTCATAGGACATGATCACATGAGTCTTGCAAACCAGAATCAATCCCTGACGCATTTGGGTAAAAAAATGCTAGTTCCCCACATCAGACAGCCTTAGAAGCACTGTTCTAACATATCCGTACAGTGTTTGCATTTAAAATTGTGGAGCACAGCGGTGTGTTTTGTTGGGAGGCTGTTAAAATATGTGGATATATAAATACTTGTATTAATTGTATTTATTTTTATTTATTAACTTTAGGAATGTATTATGTTTCTATTACTTTCATAGTCAGCTTGATCAATTCGTGATGGTTGTTCTTATCCTTAAGCAGTATATTCTGTATTTACATACTTTGGTTTAAAAGTGCCTCCTAGTAGGTAAAATTAATAGTTGGTAGTCTTTGTTATACTCTCTTCAAAAATACTGTTCCATCCTATTTTACAAAAGTGTTATTGATGTATGCCTTTGTGTAATTTCTGACTTATGGCTACCCTAATGTGAACTTACTATAGGGTTTTCATGGAAAGATTTATTCAAATGAGTTTGTTTTTGCCTTAGGGTTGAATTGGGATGCAGGGTGAGGTTGAATCTTGCCCCCCTTTCAGCCATGTTGAACAGGTTTAACATGGCTGGGCAGTGGGAGAAGGAGGGGTATCCTGCCTCCCCAGATTGCCTGATACTGGGGAGTGTTCAATGGCTGCATGGACAGGATCCCACATAGGGATGCCGGATGGCTGCCCCACTGTTCAAACAAAGATGAAATTAAAAATCCTGGAACAGGATCCAGACAGTATTTTTTTTAACCTGGGGTGCAGCCACATTAAGCAGCCTGCACTAATTCACATTAGCTTGCATATCTTATATGGGTGCATGCAGGTTAATGCAACTTTGCACTGCTTTATTTGGCAGTGTAGAACAGACATGAGGCTGAGAGACCATGGCTTGTCCAAGGCTATGTCATGGATTTTGATGGCGGAGTGGGGTTTTGTACCATTTTCTCCAAATTCGTCAGTCAGATGCTCAAACAACCATGCAAAATGCTGCTGTGCATGGATGTTTTAGACTCCCTGTGAGGTTTATGTAAAAACTGTGCTTTTGAGACACAAAGAAACTATTATCTAGATAGGTCCCAAGACACAGTGAAAAGGTATAGCTGGAGGCTTTGAGTGAAACAAAAGAGAAGTCAGAGTAAAATGATTTATCACACAAGTTTATAGAAGAAAAGCTTTTGCAATTTTTCCCTCGTGGTTTCATTTTGACAGTACGTATATACATATTGCTACTGTCTCATCCCAACTATCTCTAAAACATCTGTATAAACACTTCTTTTATAAAGCAGGATGCATTGACTTAATTACAAGCAGAATAGCAGATGATTCATGAACAAAATAGTCTGTAAAATTAAAATACCTTTGCTAAAAGTAGCCATAAACAGCATTCCATTCAGCACGAATAAAAAATAGCTTTAGATTATTTAGTTTAGTTTACAAAACAGCATTTACCAAAATTCCACTTACTTTCATGTATACAGACTAATTGAAAGCATTTGCATAATCACAGCTGAAAAGGAAATCCAGCTGATTTTCTGAGGTGGAAAATGTGGGGGTGGGAGGGTAGGGTATGTGTGCAAAAGACACCCTTATTCTTCTACTGCCCCCATTTCCATTACAATGCTTTGAAGATACTGTCATGCATTGTAATATTGGGGAAACTTTATTTGTCTGATTTAAAATATGGATGTCTTCTGTTCCTAATGCAAAAGGATCTTGTAGTACCTTTGAGATTAAAAAAAAAAAAGGATGTTGGAAGCATAAGCTTTCCTAGGGTGTATCTGCTCTGTTGAATAAATGTAGTTGACATGATTTTTATTGCTATAGCTCAATGTTGTGGAATCCTTGGATTTGTAGTTTTGGCAGAGAAGACAGACGTCTTTGTAAAACTATACTTCCCATAATTCCATAGCATTGAGTCATGACAGTTGAAGCATTGCCATACTGCATTGATTCTACAGTATGGATGCACATTGTGTCTCTTCTGCATAGCACATTTGAAACTGACTGAGGGTCTAGTTTTGCAAGGACTTTAACTTTCACTGCAAAAGAGTGCAGCCTAGAATCTGGACTTAACATAGTTCAGTCTTCGTTTTCTGTTCATAATGAATTCTGTTCCTATGTGGAATATCAGATAGAACTCTTGAGTAAACATGTCAAGAAGGATCTCAAGGGCAGGCAGATTTTTACAGGTTGCCTGAGTATTCAGGAGGTTTATCAAATACTCTGGAAAGCATATGTCCTGATGGTCCTTGCAATATTGTGGGCACACTCAAGGGCAAGGAGTGATTTCCACATTTACTGTAAACCTGCCAGAAAACTTGCTTATATTGCCAGTAGGTTAATAGTAAAAAAATACTTGGACTTTATATAAAACCATGGATTTATGTACTGGATTGGGGTGAAGAGACAGATTGAAATCAAGTTCACTTTTATTATCAGAAATCCCACTAATTTGAATGGATCAACTTTATGGTTAAGTCCGTTACTATATGTCATATGGTTTTTGAAGCCTGGAACACTGTCTTTTGAGTATTATGGGCACCACTGAAGAACTATAGTCTAGTTCTTCCTTCTGTCACTATTGCCTCCAATGAATTAATTGTGGATGTAGGGAAAAAGCTACAGGTAGAGCACAGCTCTTATGTGCGGGCCTTGATGGAGTTGTAGAAAATAGTTCATGTTATCTGAGCCTTAGTCTTTGTTTTTTCATGACTACTCGTGAGCAGCCTTCTACTAATTGTGAAGGATCTCATAAATTCAGATACGTTAATGATGTAGATTTTTACCATGGAGTTCCCTATATAATGTACTGGTCCTTATTATACAATTTTACCAACCTAGCATTGCAGCTATGTCCCTGGTTACCATGGGAACCTCACAGGTAGACTGAAATTCATCCTGTTCCAACTTTTGAAAACATTCAAAGTTCAGATCCTTGTTGAATTGTAATATATGAAAAGACTATGCAATCACTATCAATCTGTTCGAGATCTTTCATGGACCTTTATGATAGGGCTGTGGGTATCGCTTGTATAAAGAAAATGAAAATACATTTTTGAGAGAAATAATTCAACTATTATGATTAATATATGCTACCATCGTATTAATATAGAAATAATTTAAAATTAAAATTATTACTTTAAGTATGAAGTAATGTACCCATTACTGTACATCTAAGATGCTCAGAACTGAAATCTAGGAGGAAAATAAAATAATGGTATATGCTTGTTTATAGAAACATTTCATAATTAATTAATTTTGATTCATTCTCCAGGGTTGAAACTAGGTATGGAACAAGATACCTGGGTGATGATCTCAGAACAAGGAGAGAAACTTTATAAAATGATGTGTAGACAAGGGAACTTGATCAAAGACCGAAAGAGAAAATTAACAACTTTTCCAAAATGCTTTCTCGGAAGGTATGTGTTTCACAATTTGCTTCACAGTGGCTTTTTAAAAACTTTTTTTTTTAAAAAAAATAATCATCAGAGAGATAGTAAGAAATAATTATATCTTTCTTAGGCTGCTAACTAGTTAAAATAATTGCAACAATCTTTCTGGAAATCGGAAGATGCGGTAGTCTCCTAGTGTAGAATATCTGAAGCGTTGTTGAATCCTTCTATGCATTAAAGATGTCATTTTGAAATTACCATGCTACCGAGAACAATTCAAAGTGCTGGCTTTAGCCTATAAAGCCCTAAGCGGCCCCAGCCCAGTTTACCTGTCCAAATACATCTCCCTCTATGAACTATCACAGAAATTAAGATCCTCTGGGGAGGCCTGCTCTCTGTCGCACAACTGTCACAGGCATGACTGGCAGGGACGAGAGGGACTTCCCAGTGATTGCCCCTCAACTTTGGAACTCCCTTCTTGGTGAGATTAGAGCAGCCCCTTCCCTCCTGTCCTTCAGAAGAATGATAAAAACTTGGATGTGAGACCAAGCCTTTGGGACAGTGCAATAGGAAACCTTGCCATGTCAAGATAAATGATTTTAATGTTTATGTATGTACAAGGTCTATTTATGTCCTGCATTGAATGTTTGCCATTTATATGCTGTGCTCTGCCCTGAGTCCTCTTTGGGGTGGAAAGGACAGAATATAAATGTTTTAAATAAATAAATAAATACATTTTACATAAAAAGTTAATTTGTGAATTGATCCCCAGTCTTGCCTACAAGCAGTATTTCTTTCTGCGATAAAGAAACATATCAATTTTTAATCCTTTCAAAGTTTGAAGCAATTTTGTAATGTGTCAAAAATATTTCATCTTGGGAGTTTTGGAGAAGAAGTTATCATGGCCCATGATCTAGTAAGGCTGTAACAGCAAAACACTTTTATTGTATAATCAAGAACTTATTAGTAAACAAACCGCTTTATTGTTATAGCTATAGCATGCATCGTCATGAGTCTTGATCATTTCCCCTCTAAATTGTCTAAGTTCTTCAATCTGTCTAAATCATGTGCTTCTAGATCAGTGGTTACTACCTGTGGTCCGTGGACCACCAATGGTTTGCAAGAACTAAAATATGGTCCGTGGCCTCACCATTACTACATAATTGCAACAAGAGCGACTGGTCTCATGAAACCCTCTTATAGTGCTGAGGCTTATTAAATATGAGCAAATGGTGACTACTGGATGGCACATGTTCTGTATCAGAAACTAGAGCTGATGGCAATTTTCTGAATCAGCACTCCAAATAACCAAACCGAATCTAAAGTTGATCAAAAACTGATTCATAACCCTTTTGGTATTAATGCTGGTCCGTGGTCAAGTAATCCCTGGTCAAAAAAAAAAAAAAAAAGGTTGGGAACCACTGTTCTAGATACATAGATATTCATTTTGGAGGTTTACATTGTGATAGCAGAAAAATCATCATTCATATCATAACTCTCAAACATTTCACAGTTCTATTTGCTGAGAGTGAAAGATAGAAAATCAATTCACTTTTTAAGCTGTGGGCATTTCTCTCGGGCGTTAATGGGGGCATCATGCCTTTCTCAGCAATGTGGCTTTGGACTTGAAAAATTTAATTTTTTCTGGTTGATCTTACTATTGCTTTTTAAATCTAGGTCAGGTTGGCTGCAATGTCTGCAGTTTTCCCCCCCTTAATACTTATCTGCTTTTCTCTTCAATATACTTTTACAAATCTAGACATGTGCAGTTCTGTGTGTCTCTATGCAGAAATAAAATCATTATTTTAAGAGATTTTGTTTCCATAGAAGTGGTAATAGGATTGCAATATATTCTGTATAAACTTGCGACTTTGAGGACACTTTTTTTACTTTACCTCAGCTGTGGCAGTCCCTCCCTAAAGAGGTTAGATCTGCGCTCTCCCTCTTCACTTTTCGCAAGACACTTAAGACTTGGCTGTGGGAGCAAGCATTCACAGAATAGATGGTTTTTATTGGTGTAGATGAGATTTTATGGACCACATTTTTTGGACTGATTTGGAGGATGTTTTAAACCTGGTAAACTGTTTTTTTTAATGTATATTTATTATCATTTTATGTAATTGTGTATTTTATTGGTGTTTTTATATTGTTGGAAACGGCCCTGAGTCCCTCTTCAGAGGTTGAGAATAGGATGAGATACAAATGTTCTAAATAAATAAATAATAAATTGATGACTGGAATGGATTGGAAAACCTATCCTATTGTTTTTCTACAGTCAAATTCTTGATGACAGACATTTTAGTATAACCCATTATAAGGTCAGTTCATAGGACTGTTGAAAACTGAAGAAGACTCATTAGGCTTGCTTCTGAGCAGACATATAGAAATTTGGTTATACACTGCGTTGTCAAAAACCATTTTAGGCTCTGTTGCTTTTATTAATGATACAAATTCAGATAATTTGATTTAAAATATACTGAATTAATTTTCTGTTAACCGTCTTTCTCCTTATTAGTGAGTTTGTGTCCTGGTTGCTAGAAACTGGAGAGATTCACAGACCTGAAGAAGGTGTTCATCTTGGTCAGGCTCTGCTGGAGAATGGCATTATCCATCATGGTAAATATATCTGTTCGCCATAATCATTTTAAAATGTTTAACTTTAAAGTTCCACTGTCTGCAGATATCAACATATCCATTTTTGTTATCTTAATTGTTTGAATTTGATGTGCTGCACCTGAAAAATGTATGCAAAGTCCTTGGAGGAGTCGAGTCAATGCATGTGTTTGTTTCCACATCTTACATAGTGTGATGGAGCCTTTATCCAAATTGACACTGCAGTTCCAAACTGTGGAATTGATCCCAGAGATCAGTCAGTTTCTGATCCTGGCTAGGTTTTAAAAATAAATTCATTTCGGAGTTTTTAATCTGCGGTACTTAAGATAGATCTTAGAGTTCATGCTTCCTCATCTTCAACTAAAAATAGGATATTTTAGTAGAATATTGAACACTTAGTTCAATCTATCTTCCCCTTCTTGTTTAGCATAAAGGAGACTTGGGATTCAGTGATGGGATTCAGTGTAGTTCTCAGTAGAAATCAGAGCAATCAATCATGCTATTATTTTATATTATCTGAGTGTGTATGAGCTGGGAGCTTATACAGTGCTGCAAGGTTCTCCATACTGTATCAGTCAACCTTTTCCTTTTTTTTTCTGGTCATGTGGGTGCTCCATTCTGATATCAGCGAATGTGACCGTGATGGCCAGGGGGTTACAGCAATCTCTGTGGCTGACATGGATTGGTAATGGTGACATGAGGATGAGCCATTCTCTTCCACTGCATTCATCAGGGGAAGGGTGAAGGTAGCAGTGCTATCTGGACAAAGGATCATGCTGAAACCGACACAATCTAGCTGCTCAGAGGGCCACAAAATCCCAGGGAACTCCATAATTCACTGTGTGTCATGGAGACAGATGGTAGTAAATTCACAATGAGTCCAGAATGTTTTGGCTAGTGTAGACAAATCCCAGGAATCTGGAGACCAGGGTTTGAATCCCTGCTTGACCATGGAAATCCACTCTCAACTCTAAAGGAAAGCAAAAATAATCCCCCTTTTAACAAACTTGCTAACAAAGATCCATGATAGGTAAAGGTTTTCCTGTGACATTAAGTCCATTCGTGTCAGACTCAGAGGATTGGTGGTCATCTCTATTTCTAAGCTGAAAAGAGAGCGTTGTCCGTAGATGCTTCCCAGGTCATGTGGCATGACTTCATGGAACGCCATTACCTTCCCACCAGAGCGGTACCTATTGATCCACTCACATGTTTTCGAACTGCTAAGTTGGCAGAAGCTGGGGCTAACAGTGGGAACTTAGCCCCTACCCGGGTACGAACCAGTGACCTTTCAGTCTGCAAGTTCAGCAGCTCAGAAGTTTAACCCACTGTGCCACTGGGGGCATCTTAGGGTCTTTAAAATCAGAAACCATTTGAAGATGCACAACAACAATATATAGCAGCTATTCCCAACCCTTTTACCTTTTTACTGATCCTAGTTATTTGAAGGAGTGCTTCTTCTTCCTATGTTTTCACCACAGTCTGAGAGTACCTCAGGTACTTCTGTGGGCACTCTACCATTTGAGATATAGCATATCATTTATTGATTCAAGGTGTTCCCATGGAACTACTCATGTTGGAATGTCTGTGGCCCCTTCTACACTGCCATATAATTCTGATTATTAAAGAAGATCATCCACATTATCTGTTTTGAAATGAATTATATGAGTCTACACTGCCATATCAACCAGTTCAGAGTAGATAATCTAGATTTTATATGGTAGTGTAGAAGGAGCCTATGTGGTATCTTACTATTTTGGATTAAAAACCTAGCCTGTTTTAATGGAATTGCTCCCACTTCCCACAGATTGCATATACTAACCACCACTTCTCATTAAACAAGTTGTGTTATATGATAAAAGTTTTGATCCTGTGTTGTCACTTAGTTTAATTTTATGGTGGTAAATAAATTTAATTATAGTTGTTTTGGTTGATCTGACTTGTGATAATAAGCCCACTTCAGAAGTAATGGTTTTGCCTCGACAATGGAATATCAATGGAAATAATACATATTTTTCAGTTACTGCAGAATTGCTTATCTGTCTCCTCATTCTTTGTTTATTTGTTTAATTAAAATGAATGTAACTTTTCATTAAACAAATTAAACAAAGTCAAGGTGTTTGAAATAGCTTATATTTTATGTTGCTTGCTTTCTGTTACCAAGCCATTAAAGTTAAGGTGGGAGGGTGGAATGATAAATATTTTAGAACGGAGAATTTTTTGAGTCAGGTATGCCCTTTTTATTAGTATGTGCAGGACCAGCTGTGTTTTTAGCAGGAATAAAATTCTTAAAATAAAGTTGGAGGAACCATCTGTTTTGTACACAAAAATAAAATTTTGCACAGATTTGTTTTAATTTGCACAGATTTGTTTTAATGTAAATGCAACTAATAATTATATCTTCTAAGTTATTTATCATTAAGTTGTTTTGTTGTTTTTGCTTTACAGTACAGAGTATGTTAAGTGTTGCTGGCTAATAATTAGAGATTCAGACCTTTAGAGATAGATTGCTAGTTTTCCTTAAATTATGTTGAGGCATAATCTAATCTGTTGTATCTGTATACACACAGACATCTCCATTGATGACCATTTTGAAGGTGCAAATTAAAACTGTGTGTATCAATAGAAAGATAAGTTCATATGTACATGAAATTTCTTGTAGAGGTTTTGTTTAGCACACTAGATCATATCAAGACACACCTGTCTTTTTGAACAAAAACCTCCTGCTGATAAACAAAGTAAATCAATAAATGCAAGCTAGCCACCATCAAAATAAAGAGTGTTATCCTAGATATTTTATGTCATCACTAGAATTGAGAAAAAAACAAAAACAAAATTGGCTACAAAGCAAGTGTAATTAACCTGAAGGTTGTGTCTTCCTCTTTTACAGCCTTCCTATTTAAATATTTCCAGATGCTACATATAATGGTTTTTCCAGTTTTTGCTGCCCACCTCTTTTGTTCACACCTATTTACAGCATTATTAACTAGCTTGAAAAGGCCTCTCTCCGTAAGCTAATTTAACTATTTTTCCTGCACTCATCTAGCAAGTCTATGCCTCCTTGAAATAAAGAGTCGGCTTAATATATACATATACAGCTATGCACAGTAGAGTCTCGCTTATCCAACATAAACAGGCTGGTAGAAAGTTGGATAAGCAAAAATGTTGGATAATAAGGAGGGATTAATGAAAAGCCTATTAAACTATCAAATTATATTATGATTTTACAAATTAAGCACCAAAATATCATGTTTTATAACAAATCAACAGAAAAAAACAGTTCAGTAAATGGTAACATTATATAGTAATTACTGTATTTATGAATTTAGCCCCAAAACATTGCAGTGTTTTGAAACAGCTGTGGATGTGGGCAGGAGGCAGACTGCATTGGATAATACAGAACGTTGGATGAGCAAAGGTTAGATAAGCAAGACTCTGCTGTACATATATGTATGCAGAAATATATTCAATAGCTGTCTAGAGCAGTGAAATATGAAATTGTTTGAATCTTCCTCGAAATCTGCTGAACTTGCTGACTGAAAGGTCAGCAGTTCGAATCCGGGGAGCGGAGTGAGCTCCCACCATTTGCCCCAGCTTCTGCCAACCTAGCAGTTTGAAAACATGCAAAATGTGAGTAGATTAATAGATACCACTTTGGTGGGAAGATAACGGAGCTCCATATTTATTTATCGTGTCAGGAGCAACCATACAGTTGTTTTACAGCTCCATGCAGTCATGCCAGTCACATGACCTTGAAGGCATCTATGGACAATGCCAGCTCTGGCTTAGAAATGGAGATGAACACCACCCCCCTGATTTGGACATGACTAGTCTTAATGTCAATGGGAAGCCTTTACTTTTTACTACTACTAAAAGGGAAAATCTGAGCTTGACTTGGAGTGATCCTGTGTTAGCTTGTTATTAAACATGCACCACAAAGTTGTTCCTTTTTCATCTAGTATATCCCCTGTGTTTGAGTGCTGTTGTACATATATTGGTATGTGGTCCTACAATTGTTGGACTACACCTATCATCAACTCTAGGCAGCATAATTAGTGGTGAAAAATGCTGTAACTGTAGCACAACACTTGGAAAGCCACACATTCACCGTTTTCTTTATAAAACAAAAAGGATACTTTTTTGGGCTCTCAATTATGTCACCGGAATTATGATGGATTCTGAAAGCATATCACCTCGAAACCCTTTGTGCCGTCTTCCCTTTCTCCTAAACTTGCCTTCCAGCAATGATGATGGGAAAAATGATAAGAGGAAGGCTATTTCTTGCACCTCATTAAATGCTAAAGCTTTAAAACTTAAACTTTCCAGGCTGTCAGATTCCAGGGCCTCTGGCTTCTTACTAAGGACCCTGAAGGTATGCTAAATTATAATTTGTAGGGAAGTGAAAAGTTCCTGCTAGTGAGTTTCAGGATATAATAAGGGTCCACAGAGGAGCTTCATTTCTGTCATAAATAATAATCTTAGTTAACTGATTGATACTGTATTTGAAAGAAAAGAAACCTAGGAAATTCAGTAGAAAAGTGCTTCAGATATAATCCTGGTGGAGAGCCACAGTGAAACAAACAGAATACTTTTTTTGGGGATCGCTCATTGGCACTTTGAGTTCTTCTCTTGATGTGTTAAAGCAGAACAATTTATCTTTGTTTTATATTTTCTTTTGCTTTAGTTACTGACAAGCATCAGTTTAAACCTGAACACATGCTCTACAGATTTCGTTATGATGATGGCACATACTACCCAAGAAGTGAAATGCAGGATGTAATTTCCAAGGTATAAGCATAAATGTAATAGAGAAAGAGATTCTGCTTCAAAACTTAGCAGCCATTTGTCTTTTTGGGTTGTCAGTTGTCAGTACCTTAATATTGATCAATCTGAATTTTGTAAAACCCATCAGTAAGAAATTTGATAACATTATTAAATCTAATGAATTTTTCATGATCTTTGTGAAGTTGCATGAGTTGCGTTGAATTTTTTGTGGACTGATAGAGAACTTCATAATGTAATCCGGTTTAATTTTATATATGAAAAAATAGGCTTCTTTTAAAAACTAGATCTGGTAAGTTTAGCTGTGTTGAACTGTATTTTTAAATGTAAATGTTTGTTGGTATTTTTTCAATGAGTTGTGTATAATATTTATTTACTGACACAAAGTGAAGTTATGGAAGAGATAATAGTGAGTGACATTCTGACATAATGATTAATTAGAAATCCTGACAGTTGGATAAAAGAAAAACAGACAGGTTTCCTGCCTAACAGATATGAAAAGGAAAATATGAGAATAATAGTGGATCAGATTGAATATTACAAAGCTCGGAATCAAAAAGAACTACTCCTACTAGCTGTTGATGCTGAGAAAGCCTTTGATAACCTAAATTGGGATTTCTTTAAATGTATTTTTTTTATTTATTTGCATCACTTTTATCCCGCCCATATTAGCCCGAAGGTGACTTATGACGCAATAATTCGATTTAGGTTATTATTGGTGCCAAAGCAATATATGAAAAACAGGAAGCTAAGATTTTTATAAATGTGCAGGAATCCAAATACATAAAAATCAATAAGGGGACAAGACAGGGATGCCCTTTCTCTCCACTCATTTTTATAATGCCATTAGAGATCCTATTAAACAAAATAAGAGATGATGAAGAATTAACAGGCACAAAAATACAAGGTAAAACGTACAAAACGAGAGCATTTGTGGATGATTTGCTATTAATCATTGAAGAATCAATTAATAAACCGAAGAAATGGTTGGAAAAAATACAAGAATTTGGAGAAATCTTGACTTGTTTACTTTGGGGAGTTGGAGGGAGATTTGTAAGAATTTCCCTAGACTTTGCATGCCATGGTCTATTATTTTTGTTTGCTTTATCCCATTCATTTCATTGCTGACATTAAAGGTTATATTTTGTACAAGCGTTTTTTGGGGTTAATTGGTTTTGTAGAGGTGTTAATTAGCAAGGTATATTTAACACTAGACCTGTTTATATATCTAACAGGGTGTAAGATTATATTGTCGTCTACACAGTCTATTTACTCCTGTGGTAAGGTAGGTGTTCTTTTTGAACTTTATGCTTCATCAGGTTATATTAGTGAGGCTAATCAGTGTGTTGGTAATGAATTTTAGATAAAGAGCAAACTAGAGCTGGTGAAATAGAGACAAATGTCATCTTCTTGTAAACAGTACACAATTAATGGAAGGGTATACATGTCTTTGTGCAATATATTACTGTTCAACTCAATTTTTATTTTCTTTGAATATTATTTAAAAATCACAAATACATGTGAAAGAATTGTGACAATATAGTTATGAAAGAAAAATTGTATAAAATTAGTATCAAGGGTAACAATAACATTGTTTTCTCCAATTGTATTCTTTAACATATTGCTGCCGAGGAAATTCTGCATTCAGGTATTTGGAAGATATTTTGTTTTGGCCATTTACCTATCCTCAAATGAGAAGAGTGAAGAAAAAAGAAAGAACACAATGCATAACTTACTGTTGCTCTTTCTTTGGGGTGAATGAGAAGGGATTTATTTCGTGTAAGGAGCGACTTGAGAAACTGCAAGTTGCTTCTGGTGCGAGAGAATTAACCATCTGCAAGGATGCCTGAATATTTTGATGTTTTACCATTCTCATGGGAGGCTTCTCTCATCCCTCATGGTGAGCTGGAACTGACAGAGGGAGCTCAACATGCTCTCCCCAGATTCGAACCACTGACCTGTCGGTCAGCAGTCCTGCCGGCACAAGCATTTAGCCCATTGTGCCACTGGGGACTCCAGGAGGAATCATAATAGCCAATAAATGTCCTTCGGTAGGATATGTGTTGCTTTTAAACAGATACTTCTGAAAATAAAGAGATGTTCAATAATTGTAAAAAGAAAGTGATAATATATGGCAGCCATACACTTAGTAGTTACAACCAGAATAATGTTTTATTATCTGAAGCTAACAAAAGTTGGTGTGGACTTGGACAAATATATGTATGGTACTGTCAAGTTGCACTGAAATGTCAAATATATAAATTTAAGAATGAATTGTTTTGCATGCGCTTTTTCCTCAGGGATAAAGATTACCATCTACGAACCTACAAATCTGTTGTTATGGCTAATAAATTGATAGACTGGCTAATTGCACAGGTAGGATAGTGCTCTGAGGCACATAAATTTTTATTGCAAAATAGAATGCCTATTTTATTACCATTATTGAGGCAAATCTTCCCATTCTATCTAGTTTATCTTGTATCGCTATATGTACCTGAGCCAGGGATGAGCATCTGATGTTCTTTGACAGCTTCTGGAAAGTCAGTACCCTAAGAAGGGACACGGCATATATGGATCTCTTCTTTTCCCCTTCAAATGATTTCTAGCTAGCACTCCCAATAAAGTCAAGTAACTAGGTGAGGGCTCTATTTTGTTTTTCCATCATACTTTAAAGTAATGCAGGGGGAATGATGAGAAGTTAAAATGGGGTGCTGGTTGAAGTCCTCACTCTGTTTTGTGCCACTTTCATGTAAACCTGATAGGGTCCATTGATAGGGTAACCCTGGATCCAAGCATACCTAGAGCCAACCTTGACTTTTTTCCTCTCTATTATAGAGTAGTTTTCATGAAAATGAAACATTTTCTTATTTCCAAACCCAATGAAAGCACTATCAAACTCTTTGGACGGAAAACTGAGAAATATAATTGTGTGGTCATCTTCCTCATTATTCTCATTGCCATCTATATATGGAGAGTATATGCACCCAGTGGATGATCCCTTCTATATGATGATGATGATGATATTTATATCCCACCTTTTGTCTCTTAAAAGAGAATCAAAGCTGTGAACAATACTAAAAACAATATACAACTTAAAATTGTGTATTGACATAAAACATGTAAACACTGAAATAGTATTAACCCAGGGACTATTAAAATAAATAATTTAAACCATTAAAAACCAAGTAAAATCCATAAAACACTTCATAGCTGCCCTGACTCGGTCTTAAAATTTTTATGACTCTCTGCATTATTGAAAAACTTACTTTTTTTAAGGTTCCAAATTAAGGATAGTGCAGTCCCTACATTGCATGCAGCTGTGCTGTACCAATCAATAGCAATGCAAACAGAAGAGAAAGAGCCATTACATTCATATTTTGCTCTTCCTCAAATATAGAGACATTGTTGTTTTTGCTATATGTCTTCAAGTTGAATCGGACATATGGTGACCCTATCATAGGGTTTCTTGGCAAGATTCATTTGGAGGAGGTTCACCATTGCCTTTCTCTAACATTGAGAGTGTGTCACAAATGGGTTTCCATGGCTTGGTAGTGATTTAGATCATGAACTCCTGAAATTTTAAACCATCTTTCAAACCACTAGACTACATTGGTTCTCGTGTAGAATATCCATGCTTTAAAATGAGTTTCAATATTGACATTGATTCATAGATCACTCACCTCCGGACAGAAAGGCCAGCCATATGGTTGGAGGGGAGCCTTTGAATCCTCCTGTCAAGGAGACCAGTGTTCTACTGAGCCTGATGTCACTGCCGGTCTGCAGTGGAAAGGGGCTTAAGGAAGCCACCTTCAGTTAGCCGCACAACGCCACCCTGAGTCACCTTCGGGCTGATATGGGTGGGATACAAATGTTGTAAATAAATAAATAAAATAAATAACCTACCCCCGCCCTCAGTTCAATATAAGGTAATATTGGTCACATTATACTGGCCGGGTAGGAATTTTTACCCTCCTTAAGAGGGAATTTTTTTGCCTACCCCATATTGAAACTGTTGGGAGCAAGATGAGGCTGTCATAATGAGGTGTCATTGGCAAGAAGTGGGGGAGAATATGGATCGGTGTGCAACCTTGGCATCCCTCCCTTTTTGGGTGAAGGAGGACTTTTGGGTTGACCTCTATAGGTTATTAATTGGGATAGCAAGCCATCACTTGGGGGTCAGGTACTTCACCCAGTGTTTGATTTGGCGGGTAGTCAAAGAATGATACCTGGTCTCATGCCATTGGCCATGTTGCAGTGCTCCCCCACAACTAATTGCTTACTTCATTTCCCAGTTTTAAATAGGCCAATAAATGGCCCATTATTTCTCCATATCTTTGTGTCTGGATTTTTTATTTCACGGTAGGGATTCAAAGGCAACACTATGCAAAATATTATGTTTGACCCATGATGCCTTTCCCAAGATGCAGCACCATACTGCCATCATCTGGTGACTAACCTGCAAAATGTCTATGCATTGTACATTAATTTAGTCTGCGGGGTGTTAAGTCTATTATACACACAACAAAAATAGCCAATATTTTAATTTAATAGTTTGCAAAATTGATTTATATCCTGCCTTTCTCCCAAAACTAGGACTCAGTGTAGCTTACAATTTAATAAAACAAAGGCAGTTTAAACTGGTTGAAAGCCATTTTTGCAGAAAGTGAGGTCACTTTCTAAAGCCCTCTCTGAATTTACAAATATGGTATATTTCTTCTGAGAATCCACTTAGTCAGTTTTTGTTAAGGAACAGCCTTTGAGAAACTTTTTTTATCTCTCTAATAGTTTGGCAAATAGAATAAATTTGTATGTCACTTTGAAAATGCTCATTACAAAATAGGCATAATTATTTATCTTATTATTTCCAAAATATTATGTTAACATTGCCTTTGTTATGATGCTCTGGGACTAAAATTATTAAAATTAATTAGATGATTAAAATTGAAATGGGACTAAAATAAAATGATCCTGTTTGTTTGAGTGATGCAAAAATGATATATGATTTCCTAATTTCAAATTGCGGTGCATGATACTTACATCGATGCATATATTATGTTGTAACAGGGAGACTGCAGGACGAGAGAAGAAGCAATGATCTTTGGCATAGCACTTTGTGACAATGGATTTATGCACCATGGTAAATACTGTAGATTTTAGAATTCTGACTGTGAATAAATACTGTGTACAGATTAGGGAATTTCTCAAGCGTTTTAGTGCTGAGAATCTTCACTTAGAAGAATGTCTGTTTTTCTATCAGATGGCTGAAAAGGATGATTGCCTAGGCTTAATGCCATAAAGGATGCCGTGTTTCTTGTTTTCATCATTAATTTGGGTCTGCATTAATCTCCCAAGAAAACCCTTTTCTTTTGCCTGGAATAATATGGTTCATTTCTTTGAGCCACTGATGCATATTTTTAATAAATGTAGTATTTTATCCTGAAGGCAGCTCTAGCTTTCTACGCCATTGGGTTCTTTATGGGTGGCTATTAGGCCTGGGTAACAACGCAAAAATTTGGTTTTGTAATCGTTTTGTAATTGGGGTGTTTTTTTGTTTCGTTATTTAAAATAATTACAAAACTTTCCCAAAAAAAGTTTTGGTATTTAAATTTTGTAAATATTAACGAATTTTTAGAATATTTTTTGTATTTTTTAAGAATAATATTAAAATAATATTAAAAAATATTAAAAAATAATTAAAAATAATATTAAAAATATTTTAAAATGGAAAACGAAACCGCACAGGCCTACTATACAGACATAGCGGGTTTGAGTCAGACCCAGCTAACACCTCCCAACAAAGGATTCCCCTGAGCAGGAAGGAGCCAGACTTTGAAGCTACAAGGCCATTTAATCCCAATCAAGCTGTCCAATGGCAACATTCACACTTGCCTCCAACAGACAAGAGTTCTTTCTCCCACCCTGGACCTTCTACAGCCAGGCTTTGAAGCTGCGAGGCCATTCAATGCTAATCAAGGTGGCCAATGGCAGCATTCACAATTGCCTCCAACAGACAAGGGTTCTTTCTCCCACCCTGGACGTTATTTCACAGGGATATAAACCCTACTTGCCTAGTTTCCAACAAACCTCTGAGGATGCCTGCTATAAGATATGAGAGAACGTCAGGAGAGAATGCTCCTGAATCCTCCTCCACATGCGGCTGCATAGTGAGTGAAGTACTGTATAATAGCGCTGCATCAGGGGCGGCTGAAGCAACTTACGTGCCAAATCCCTGGCTGTGGGCTGCTTGGCTTGCTTGCTCGCTTCTCCAAGCGGGCGAAAGGAGAGGGAGAGAGAAAAACAGTGTGCTGCTGCCTGTCTCTTTAAGGAAGGAGCACATGGAGCCCTCGGCTGCCGGTTTGGCGGAGGGAGGGAGGCAGGCGCGCGCAAGAGCAACCAAGCGCGCGCCTGCCTCCCTCCCTCCGCCAAACCGGCAGCCGAGGGCTCCATGTGCTCCTTCCTTAAAGAGACAGGCAGCAGCACACTGTTTTTCTCTCTCCCTCTCCTTTCGCCCGCTTGGAGAAGCGAGCAAGCAAGGCAAGCAGCCCACAGCCAGGGATTTGGCACGTAAGTTGCTTCAGCCGCCCCTGATGCAGCGCTATTATAATACAGTACTTCACTCACTATGCAGCCGCATGTGGAGGAGGAGGAGTGTTGGAAAACGGGGAGAGGGGAAAGAGGGCGGGGAGAGCAGCCCAGGCCGAGAAAGAGGGGAATGGCACCAGCACTCCAGCAGCCTCCATCCCATTAACGAAACGAGCGGAAGCTCGTTAAATTTATGGGGGCTGCCGGTTCGATATTTTTAAACCCTTCTGGGTTTGAAAATGTGTTTTGATATTGCTTCAAAAATGCAAAAATAACGAATTAATAACGAAATAACGAAATAACGAACTAAATTGCCCAGGCCTAGTGGCTATGTCTCATAATATGCTGCAAATAACTGATGGACTTATACCATTTATTTATTGTGTTTTTGATAGGGTTTGACGTTTAGATTTTATCTTGAGAAAAGTAGTATCTAGGTAAATAAGTTCTAACTTTTCTACACTGTTCTTTTGGGCTATTGGAAAAGATACTGTTTACTTCTTTCAGATACTATGCTTCTACATGTTGTTATGAATAAACTATGATTCTTTTGATTATATGACCTTATGACAAAATAGCTGACAATTCACTATGATGAGCAACTCACTTTTTAGATTTGATACAAATTTATTCCTGAGTAAATGTGGAGATGTCTCATTTGAAAATTGTAACTTTGCTTCATCATCCTGAATGTTTACTTCTGGTTTGTGTTCCACTCTAGCTTTAAATCAGTGGTTCTTAACCTGTGTGCCGTGGAGCCACTAGTGGACCGCGGGAAAGAAAATCTGGTCCGCGAGCCTCCTTCCTCTTTATTTTATTTTATTTTATTTCTGCTTCTTTTGTACCACCTGCCACTCCTTTCCTGTCGCTGACCATGTTATATGTTCCGTATCAGAAACTCGAGCTGATATGCTCTATCCAATGCAATTTTCTGAATCAGCACCCCAGACCGAATCTAAAGTTGACCAAAAACTGATTTGTAACCCTTTTGGTACCAGTGTTGGAGAGTGGTCCCTGGTCAAAGTGGCCCATGGTCAAAAAAAGGTTGGAACTACTACTTTAAATCAATAAAAAGGAGAAAATTCATTGCTACTCTTAACACATACCTATTTGAGATCCATAAAGATGAGTGCAAGTGCAACTGATGGCAGTGAGAGGTAGTGTCACAGTTTGATTATATTCCATATGAACAGTTTAGCAATGGAAGTGGAAAGCTGTAAAGTCTAGTTTCCTGAATAACTTTTTTAAAGAGACAGTTACCAATATTCTGCCTTAGCATAGATTAAGTGGCTAGTGGACACACTTCTGCCAATTTCACCTTATGGTAAAACAGAGTGGGCTGGCAACCATCTTGTGTGGATTGATTCGGTTTTTGAAAACGAGAATCTGTGTGATCCATTGACGTGATTAAATTTACAAAGCAAAAGTATATACTCTGAATCTTATAGCAATTAATGAATTAATGAATACTTAGTTCTAACAATATCTATTTGACAAAGAATTGTGAATTGCTGGGGTTGAGACTAATGTCTACATTTTCTAGTGCACACTGTTCCTCGCAGAGATCAGATGATCCCCTGAAATATCATCTGCGTCCAGCCATACACTGTGGTTCACATTCTGCCTATTTCAAAGAAAAAGACCTTGTTTTAGAGCCAGAAATTACCTTTCCATCCTTCCTTTGGTTATTTGACCCTAAACATTAAGGGAACAATAAGGAACAAACCTTACTGAAATTAATGGTTTATTTAATAGTTGTTAACTACTGCAAAGTCTTTCCAACCCAACTCTTCTAGAAGATCTCCATCTAGAGTCACATTGCAGTTCACTGGGACTGCTCCAGTACACACTATTGTGAAGCAGCATTATTTATTTATTTACTTCATTTCTACCCTGCAGTTCTCACCCCGAAGGGGACTCAGAGTGACCTTACAAAATTGGCAAAATTCAATGCCGTATTAAAACATACATAACAAATAAACATAATAATAAAACAATAAAAACAAATAAAACATACAATACAATTAAAACAGTTAAAACCATTAAAACAGATTAAAATAGACACCTAGACACATGACCATCATTAGTGTTGCACTATTGGCACTATTCCCCAAATTCCTGTAGAAGCATAGCCAGGTCTTCAACTTTTTTCTGAATATGAGGAGAGCGGGGGTTAGTCTAACATCTTTAGAAAGGGAATGCCATAGAAGAGGGGCCACCACTGAGAAGGCCCTGTCTCTCATCCCCACCAATCACGTGTGCGAAAGCCAGCATTACTAAAAGGTTGGTACTCATAAACAGCAACTGAGGATAAAGCGGCTTTTCTCCCTTATTGATCAGTATCATTTGGTGGTAACAGAGACAGGAATAATTGACACCAGTGATTATTAGGCAGTAGACAGTGCTTGCCATGGGCATAGTTTTATTAGGGATGGATACATCTGGCTATTAAGCAATTGTATGTACTGTTCCAAACACCTTTCTACACAATGCCCACAGATATGTGTCGGTGTTCAGTGTTGATAGACTGTTACTACTACCATTCTGTCTCACCAGCAACACTGAATAGCTCTTACATGATTACAGTGAGTTTCATTGGGTCTAAATGAAAGCATATTTTTATGACTTAAATGCAGACAATGATAATGGCTAAAGAAGGAGTCTGTGGTTTGAAAAAAGTAAGGATTGTCATTAGGATCTTCATTCATTAAGGTATCAAATAGTCTTGTACACAACAGTTACAAAACCCATTTTTCCCACTCTTGTACAAAACTATTATTTCTATAACTTGACTTACATATGCTATCTATTGAATTAATCAGTATACAATATGCAAATTTTTTTAAAAGATCAAAAAGCAAAAGGTATTTGTGGGGCAAGAGAGAAAACATTTACATTGTTTTGTATCAAACAGTGCTTGAAAAAAGTGAATTCAAAGATGAACCACTTGTCTTTCGCTTCTTTGCGGATGAAGAAATGGAAGGCTCAAACATGAAGCACAGGCTCATGAAACATGATTTAAAAGTAGTGGAAAATGTAATTGCAAAATCACTCCTGGTAAGGTTTTAAAAATGTTGTCTTTCTCAGTCTCTGTATATATATCATGACACTTTCATAGTACTTTCACGAAGGTTGACTATGCATTGCTCCCTGTCAGATTAAAACCCATTTGACAAAGGTTGTTTTATGCCCACTCTTTCCTCCATGTTCTTTGTTAACTAGAAGGGTTTTTTTAATGAGCACCTTGGCATCAGGGTAATAGCAAAGAAGGACGGGAGAAACAGACTTTTGGGTTATATCAGCATATTTGCAATAAACTATGTAATAAAACTTCTATGCCATATTCCCCACAATTCAGTTCTAGCAGAAGATTCCTCTAACAACAAACTGTTTGTGTGAAAGTGACACTGTGTCTTGGCTAGAACTCCCACATTAGACAGTGGATGACTGCTGAGGGTAATCATCACATTTGCCAGGCCTGATGTTCATGTTTATTTAATTTGAAGGTATTTTAAATATTTCATTTTATATAAATGTCAAACATATTTTTCTTTTACAGATTAAATCAACTGAAGAAAGCTATGGTTTTGGTTTGGAAGACAAAAACAAAGTGCCAATAATTAAAATAGTGGAAAAGGGATCAAATGCTGAGGTGATTTATTTTAATTTTTAGTCATGTGTATCGTTGCCTGAAAAGATATTTTGTAAAACTTTGCAAAGAGGTCTTAGTTTGGTTTCCCATTCACCTCAGGGTTGGAGACAGCTCTGCATGGAGCAGCCTCAATTATTGAAAGCAGTGAGGGTATTTTTTTATCAGAGAAAAGTGTCAAGTGCATTGAAATTCTCTGCATATAAGGACTTCCTGGACTATCTGATTAGACAGTATACATCATTTCTCTGTGTTGTAATCATCACTTATCAGAAAAGAAATAAAATACAATTGTTCCTCGATATCCATGGGAGAATGGTTCCAGGACCTGCCATGGACACCAAAATCCATGGATGCCCAAGTCCCCAACCTGACAACCAGTTGTAGGTTAATGTATTGTCGAAGGCTTTCATGGCCAGAATCAATGGGTTGTTGTATGTTTTTTGGGCTCTATGGCCATGTTCTAGAAACATTCTCTCCTGACATTTCTCCTGCATCTATGGCAGGCATGGTCAGAGGCATCGTCAGAGGTCCTCACAACCTTTAAGGATGCCTGCCATAGATGCAGGTGTCAGGAGAGAATGCTTCTAGAACATGGCCATACAACCTGAAAAGCCTACAACAACCCAGTTGTAGGTTACTTTTGCCAGCTCCAGAGAAGGTCAGGGTTGGAGACAATTCTGCATGGAGCAGCCTCAATCACTGAAAGCGTTCCACCTAACTGTGAAATGATGTGGGTTATGTATGCATATAACTATAATATGTGTACAGTGTAGATTCCCAGCATATATCACTGAGATTTTACTATGTTGCCATGTTGCAGCAGTATATATTTTCATAAAGCCTGCAAAATATTTTGCTTAACACAAGGAGCACATTTGAGTATTATTGACCAGTGCATTACTATCCAATGTAGATTAATCTAGGATGTTCATTACCGACAACAGTGGAATCTTAGGTGGGTTTACATTGCCATATAATCCAGATTATCAAATCAGTTAATCCACATTTTATCTGCTTTGAACTGGATTATATAAGTTTACACTGCCATATAATCCAGTTCAACGCAGATAATCTGGATTTTACTTAGAGTCCCTTTCTGTATTCTTATAACAGAGAATAATATCGCAGGATCTGATCCCAGGTTTTCTGTTTTAAACTGGGTTATGTAAGTCCACACTGCCAGATAATCTGGGATAAACTTAAAACCTGGGATCAGATCCTGGGATATAGGGCTTGTCTAGAAGGGCCCACAGAGAGATTGAGTGAACATATGTTTCAAATAATTCTGAAATTGCAAAGCAATCATTTTTGACATCCAGAAAAAAAAGGTTTGGATTGTATGCATTTCACAATTGTAGTGCTAGGCCATGTGATACATTTCTCAAAGTCTTATTTATCAGGAGTAAAGAATATGAGTATAAGTAGTTTCGTTTTTAAAATAATAATATATTTACTTTTCTCTGTGTTTTGTTTCCTTATTTAGATGGCAGGTCTGGAGATTGGGAAAAAAATCTTTGCCATAAATGGTGACCTTGTTTTTCTGAGACCCTTCAGTGAAGTGGATAGCTTTCTGAAAGCATGTTTAAGCATCAGAAAGCCCCTCCGGGTACTTGTGAGCACAAAACCCAGGGAGTAAGTTGTTTCTTCAGTTTCAGAAATTGTAAAGTGTATTACAAACAATGGGCATCAAATTGGAAGGATGCAAAAACTTTTTCTTGGCAAACGTTAAATGCGTGGAATTAGGAGTTAAAGATTATTGGGTGAAGGCATTAATGGTCGAATGGGAATTTAAGTTCTTTGCATTGAATATGCAGTTGTTAATGCTGTTCCTAAGTTATAATAATGGTCTGATAATAATTAACATATCCAGAAAATGTGATTACATTTTCTGTTCATCTTTAATGACAATTTGTTTGTAAACAATGAAGAAATGTTGAATTGGTTGACTCCAAGAAGAATGCATTTCTTGAAATATATGTAGTCCCTGGTTCTCAGTGGACAGTGAAATAAACATATTGGCATTGGATCTTTCATCTTGAGATTTCTCTTAGGACAGTGAAGATACCCGATTCTGTGGATGGTCTTGGATTCCAGATACGAGGCTTTGGCCCTTCAGTTGTCCATGCTGTTGGAAGAGGTAGGAACAAGGACTTGATTAGTTGTGAATATTTTTCCAGCATTTAAAACTGTAGGCAGAATTATCTAGAACTAAACTCTTGAGTCATATATCCATCCTTGATTTTATTTCGTTTGAATTTGATTTGTGAAGAAGTAAATAATAGCAGCAATGAAGTAAAAGTAAAGACAACCACCATAAGATACAAGGCTTATAATAGGCAACAGTGAAAATAATTATCTTCAGGCCTTGGCACTGATCTTCCAAAATACATCTGTTTTGCCACTGTGGGAAAGGGGAATGTTTCAACAAATGGACTTAGTACTGATATACAATTTAATAATTTACATTGGTAAGACATGATTTTTCTTTAAAGCTTTCTCTGCTGATTTAATTTTCATTTCAACAATATGTTAAATAAATTAAAATCTGCATAGAAACGTCCCTGAACTTGGATCCTTGGCTTACTATTCTGGATTAAAACATATCAGGTCTGTTTTAGTACTTTTCTCAGATTGACAAAGAACAGAGTTGACAGAGAAATCTGTTTTCCCTGTTCCAGGCATCAAGGTCTAAGGGTTTCTTGGGACACAGAAAAAGTCTTGGTATGAAATAGATGTAGCTTAGGTTGCTGTGAATTTTCCAGGCTGTATGGCCATGTTCCAGAAGCATTCTCGCCCATATCTATGGCAGGCATCCTCAGAAGTTGGGAAGTTTGTTGGAGATTAGGCAAGTGGGGTTTATATATCTGTGGAATGCCCAGGGTGGGAGAAAGAACTCTTGTCTGTCTGAGGCAAGTGTGAATGTTGCTATTGGCTACCTTGATTGGCATTTAATGGCCTTGTAGTTTTAAAGCCTGGCTGATTGCTACCTGAGGATCCTTTGTTGGGAGATGTTAGCTGGTTCTGATTAATTCTTGTCTGAAATTTCCCTATTTTTAGTGCTGCTTTTTATTTACTTCAGACTATACAGAGAATTCATTACAATCCACAAGCATGTGGACAATTTCAACAGGAAAGAAGAAACGATGAACAAAATCTGGCTATCAGTATTAAAACCCTCTAAAATCAAGACAATAAATAAAGAGCAACACTCAAAAAACAGGGGAATTCAAGACAAGACTCAATCAGGGCCAGCGAACACCTCCCAACTATCATCCAGACTTTGAAACTACAAGGCTATTAAATGCTAATCAAGGTGGCCAATTGCAACATTCCCCCTTGCCTCAAGCAGACAAGAGTTCTTACTCCCATCCTAGATATTCCACAGATATATAAACCTCACTTGCCTAGTTTCCAACAGGACCCTCAACCTCTGAGGATGTCTGCCATAGATGTGGGTGAAACGTCAGGAGAGAATGCTTCTGGAACATAGCCAATACAGCCTGGAAAACTCATAGCAACCCAGTGATTCCAGCCACAAAAATCTTTGACAACACAGATGTAGCTTTCTATCTTTCTACCAGTATCAAATCTTTCTCTGCCTTTCTGTTTAAAATGCCCAAGGGTACTTAAATCGCTTATGGCTTTCAGTGTGGGATTTTGTCAGAATTTTATTTAGCAGCTATATAAATGATTCAATATAATATATTACTAAGCTGCTGCTTGGTTATTATAGTAAGAGCAACAAATAAATCTGGCTTAAATGTAGCACCGCAGAGGCAAATCAATTGAACTTTCACAAGGCCAGCCTTGTAAAACAGTGTCTCCTTTATCAGCATGCTCTGGGAAAAGATATGCATCCCACAGACATTCTTCTTTGTGACAGATTGTCAGGTTTGGTAGAGAAACATGCTAGCACTATCTGTTGGTCTTCTTTCAATCCCTTTGCTTTTAGGAGACTTGTTTGGTGCAAACGCAAGGGGGGAACCTCCTTAGGGGTCACGACCAGGCTTTAGGAATTCAACAGGGAGTGCACCTATAGTGTCAAATTAATGCAGTTTGATACCACTTCAATGCCATGGATTTATTACTTTTGTCATTTAGGAACAATTTTTTGGCAGACAATGCTAAAGATTGTGTAAACTACAAATACTAACATGATTCTATAGCATTGAGCCATGGCAGTTGAAGTGTTTCAGACTGCATTAATTCTATACTGTAGATTGCACCCTTAGAGGTATTAGTCTGGTTCTTTTTCTGTTGTCTTTTCAGCAGCAAGCAAAGATCTTTTTTTATTCAGGTGTTTCTTAAACAACCATCTTACTGTAAAAAGGACTTTATTTTATTGTCGTGTTCTGAATTTAGTTACTTCCTAATGTACATATTTTATATTCCATCTTTTCCCCATTATGGGAGTTTTGACACAAGTTGAAGCAGAGTATAGTTAAAACAAGATTGAAAAACAATTACATAAACAGTTATCTTAAAAACTCCAATATATAACAATTTAGAAAGCTGTTAAAGTACAGTACAATGGTGGCAATAAATAAATAAACAAATGCAGCACACCCTATTTATAACACATTTGGCAAATGTTTATATCTTAAGCTGCCATGAATCCCATTCTGCCAAGAAAGGCAGGATATAAATAAGCCAGTAGCTATGTAAATAAGGGGGAAAACTGTTTGTGGGGGTGAAATCTTTGTGTGGATCACTTTGAACACAACCTGTTAAAGCATTAAAGTCTCTCTGCAGTGGGAACACCATACTGGCTTCAATACGTTTCTGAGCTGAACTGCAAATAGAGAAGACATTCATGCAATTTGAGCTATTGATTCTTCCCCTTTTCTTCCCAAGAAGGAAACTTCTAACTTGGCAACTTTCCACTCTGTTTTAAGGAACAGTTGCTGCTTCTGCCGGCCTTCACCCGGGACAATGCATCATCAAAGTGAATGGAATTAATGTCAGCAAAGAAACACATGCAAGTGTCATTGCCCATGTCACAGCTTGCAGGAAACACAGACGCCCAATGCATGTAAATATGCTCCTGACTTTATTTATTTTGAATGTGGTTGCTTTACTTTTCCATTTTATTGGTTCACATCTATCCCTTGGGAGATGAATGCAAATAATGCAGTCAAAAGAGCATATCGCTATTGTAATTATTTTTAAAAGTGCTATTTGATGCAATTTGAGGTGCACATTTGAATTGACTTGTGATGAAACCAAAAGGGGCCAATTCTATGAATATAATACTGAGCATTTCTACCTTTTCTATCACTTAATAAATATGTGCAATTGAAACCAGCAGAATCAGGCTCTAACTATATAAAAGCAATGTGAAAAATCACCGGAAAAGATAGATATATAAAGAAAACATATTTGGCACTAAATATGCCTTTTCATAATATTTTCAGTAACCTACCTAGTTGATAAGCACAAAGCAAGACTTCACACAAAACTTGCAGTAAAAAGCTTGAATAAGAGTGGAAAGAAAATGTATAAATTGGTTTGTGTTGGTACAGAATGGCGCTGGGATCATTCCAGTGATCTTTAAGATCCTGAAAGGACCTCCTTTCAAAACTTTTGCTGATACTTCATAAATATGGCTGGAAAGTAATGCAATCAATGGACCATAGCCTCCCACGGTGCAAAATAAACATTGTTAGATAAAATGCAGTGAATGATCAAGGAAGAGATGAGTTAAATTTAGCTTCATATCATAAACAAAAAGCATATGGAATTATTCAGTAATGCATTTGAAGTTATATTAAAAGAGAAATAAGCTTAAAATTCTATTTTGAAAAGTCATATAGAAATATATACAAAAGCTTAAATCCTTGGACTTTTTGCTTAACTTCCATTTCATCCCACACACTTTCCTTCAGAGGCTTGTATTTTCAATTCTGTCAGAACACAAGCTATTTTTGTAGTTCATCCAGCTGTATTTAACTGCGGGGTGGAAGAAATTCTGAAACTCACCATGGTTTTTTTTTTTACTTTAGTAAGTAACTGAAAACGTTTTAGAATATATATTTTACTACCAGACTTTCTAGCAATGATTCTATATAAGAAGAGTACATTTTGTTCTAGAAAAAAACAAGGACAAGTTATCTAGTCTTTTGAGAACAATCTATAATTAACTGTTGGGCTAAATTCTAAATTACACAGATTTCTATATGTTTTAGGAATTCTTCCAGAACGTGGCTGGTTGAAACAATGAATATAAAAATATAACTGACATGCAGGCCTTTTTATTGTGTGTAGAGGCCTGTTTCAGACATTCAGTTCTAGACACCTAATGCATTCCTGCCCAGGCAGTAGATATTTTTGGGAATGCCCTTGTGTGTGAACTCTGATTTTAAATTATGAGACCGCCATCTACACCAGTGGTTCCCAACCTTTTTTTGACCAAGGACCACTCTCCAACTTTAGTACCAAAAGAGTTACGAATCAGTTTTTGGTCAACTCTTCATTTGGTTTGGGGCGCTGATTCAGAAGATTGCATTGGATAGACCACATCAGCTCTAGTTTCTGATACAGAACATATGCCATGGTCAGCGACAGGGAAGGAGTGGCTGGCAGTGCGAAAGGAGTGCAATTAAATTAAATTAAAGGAAGGAAGCTTGCGGACCAGATTTTCATCCTCCCGGCCCACTAGTGGTCCGTGGCCCATAGGTTAAGAATTTATTTATTTATTGATTTCCTATATTTATACTGCGCCCTTCTCACCCCTGAGGGGGGACTCAGGGCAGCCTCACAAAAGCACCATGTGGTGCCAACATCATAAGACAATCAGCAGTACATTGAAATATTAAAACAGCAATTAAAACAATTGATTGGCACACTTCTTTAAAATCAGAATCCAAAATCCAGTCCAGGTCAGAACCACTGATCTACACTGACCATTTAATGCAGTTCAAAGCTAGCTTCAAACAGTGGCGGGCACTAGACAGCAAACTCCCATGAAAGTGCATAAAGGAAAGTCCTTTATGTGCATTGGTGCTCTGTGGTTTGTATAATTACTTTCTGGGCCTCAAACTGGTTCAAGGATTTGCTATGTAATCTGCACAGCAAAATCAATTTCTTCGGTAATAGTTTGAATCTGTATGAAATGGTCAGTGTAAATCAGTAGACAGGTTCTTAATTTTAACAAGTGTGATCTTATAGTTAAAGCAAGTCCTCAGTATCCATGGGGGGATAGGTTCCAGGACCCACTCACCCTTGGACACTAAAAAAAAAAACAAGGCAGAGGTAACTCCCAGACACCAGATATGCTGCATTTTGGGGGCTCCCCTACTTCTGGGGAGCATGCTAACCCCCCATCTACATCTGCCTCCAGGAGGGCCAAAAACAATTGGCCCAAAAACACCATAAAACATTTAAAAACATTAACATATAATATAAAACCATAACAAGAAAACTAAAAGCATACATCATTTGTGTCTCCTAATAAAAACATTGTCCCATCTCGTCGTCCAGTCGTTCCAATTCCTATGTCTCTTACCTTGCATTTTCAAATGCTTGCTCAAACCACCAAGTCTTGACTCTCTTCTGAAATGTTAATAGTCTCTGAAAAAAAGCAAACAGATGCAACCTCTTTTAGCCTGTTTGTCCTTCCTCATTAATCAATGATTTTGACCACATTCTAATGTTGCTTGAATACACGTGTTCCAATTTTATCTTTGAAACATTGGAGTTTATGTTACTGCAATGTTAGAAGTTTGAGGTCTGAAGGAGAATTTTAATGGGAAGATCAGGAATTTTATTTGAGTGGGCCATGACTTAATCTTGTCCCAAAACCCATAGCTCTGCCTCACAGTGTAGTATGGCAAGACAGGAAGCATTTGCTTGGAATATTTAGTGAGAGTCTTTCTGCTCATCTCTGAGTCATTAAAATTCCAGGAAAAGGGTGGGCTGGTGGGATGAGGATGAAAATTAAACTTTCATTTCAATATGACACTCTTGAGAACATTGTTTCCTTTAGCAAAGCTAATATGCTTTCCTGTTTATAGTAAGCACGTAAACTTTTAAAATAATTGTTATTGCTATTCTGCAGCAAGATTCTATTCAGTGGGTATATAACAGCATTGAGAGCGCTCAGGAAGATCTGCAGAAAACAAATTCCAAGCCTTTGGGAGATGATGGAGGATACGCATTTGACTGCAAAGTAGAAGGTGGGATTATTTGTCATTTATTGAACACAGCAAAGTAAAATGTCAGATGAGACACTTAAGACCAAAAGCAGGAGAAGCAAATACCCCACACATTGTCAAAAGAACATCCCTTGAAGTAAGACACATGAAACCAAATAAATGACACCCTTCAAATATCACATAGATAGAGATGTGGGCTTTCTCCTTCAGGTGATATGTTTGAAGTATGAAGTATGTATGTGATTTAGTCAGTTACAAGCTTCATTTCTTCATTAGTGAAATAGTCCAACTAATGTATAGGCATGGAAATCTGATTATGACCTTTACTTGAATGTTGATTGAATTACATATTGCTTTAGAATTGTCCTTATAGTAAAGGTAAAGGTTTTCCCTGACATCAGTACCGTAGCCAAGATATTGATTTGGGGGGGGGGGGGGTCTGAGTCTGAGTGAGAGAGGATCTACCCTAGCAAACCTTTTGTATCATTATCCCAATACCCCCACGCATATGGGACATATTGAGCATGGTGATCAGGTCATGATATGAATAAACATAACAGTTTAAATAATGTACCAGTAAGGCCTTCTCATGGACCACCCTGGGAATTTGGGGGGGGGGGGCTGAAGCCCCTCACGCCCCTCACCCCAGGCTACGGGTCTGCCTGACATTGTCTAGTTGTGTCCGACTCTGGGGGGTGGTGCTCATCTCCATTTCTAAGTCGAAGAGCCAGCTTTGTCCGTAGGCACTTCCTAGGTCATGTGTCCAGCATGACTGCATGGAGCACTGTTACCTTCCTGCAGAAATGGTGCCTATTGATCTACTCACATTTGCATTTTTTCAAACTGCTAGATTGGCAGAAGCTGGACCTAACAGTGGGAGCTCACCCGCTCCCCAGATTTGAACCTCTATATAGCTCCACCTAATTGAAATTTTAAGGATTTTCTTTGAGATTGTGCCCTAAAAGAGATTCATCCACCTTCAGTTATCCTTGGAATCTTTGGTTTAGTAATAGTATATCTGTATGTATATCAATGCCTATGTCTGTATCTCACTTTACAAAAAATGAATTATCTTCTAGCGAGATTATAAATAAACTGTAATCTGTTTTAGCTCATTTACTTGCTCAATTCAATTTTAATTTAGTTTACTTAACAAATGATGATTTAGTTGCATTTGTTAAATCATTAGATAAGATGGAAACAAAAGAAGTTGACTTGAAACATCTATTTCTAGAAGTAATTGACAAATTTAATACCATGGCAATAATTGATGGACGGAAGGACCATGTCAGTTTAACTGTTGATAATGTTCATCTGGAATATGGTGTCGTTTATGAATATGACAGTACAGCTGGAATAAAATGTCATGTTTTGGAGAAGATGATTGAACCAAAGGGCTTTTTCAGCTTGACTGCAAAGGTATGAAGCGTAAAATATTTCTTTCTTTAATTATTTATTGTTCCTTCTGTCACTGAAGTGGCGTATCTTGTATAGGGAAAGGTTTTTAGTTACTTCATTTCAAGTCTATCATTTGTCAATGATCTGTTGATAGTTATTAATGCTTATGAATTGTGGTTATTTGTCCAGAAATACCTCTGTACGGTTTATGGTTGTTAATGGTTATGAGTCATAGTTATTCACCCAGAAAGAAAATTCAGTTGCAGGGCAGTCATAAAGTAAACTGCCAAACTTAAAATAATGTGAAAGAGACTAGGTATAAATTACATTGCTACCTTTTGGATTTTGTGTTTTCAAGTACTTCTCTAAATGTTTTTGTGTTCAATAATAATTGGATGTTATTTTTAAAAAATCATAGTTATCTATTTTAATAGCAAAGTTCATATTGCTTATTTTGTGTAAGAGGGGTCAAGAGTATATTCATCCACAACATTATGCAGATTAATTGTTCCTTTCATAAATAAAGTGTACCCAGTGAGTTCTATGCTAATTGCTCAGAGGAGCACGGCATTGTAAAAAGGCTTTAACTGGTGCTAAATTACAGCAGGGAAGAAAATGAAAAATCAGTGGTGCAAATCCAGCCATTTAGAGATAAGGATTTGGAGAAAAGACAGCAGTGTGACATCAGGATGGGGGGGGGGGGGGGGGGGGGGAGATGAACCCTATCCCAAGTAATGTTTATGGAGTGATAAGTAGCCTATACTAGCAGTTATTGTGTTACCGTTTCAGTAATAATATTAATCAAAAAGTAACTATTTCCCCCTTCCTTGTAAAAATTTGGCTTCTATTCAATTGTTAGATGCAATTAGATTGCTTAGTGGATGCTTAATGCAATCCCATGCCTCCAGTGGATGGACCCTAGCTGAAAGTCACAACATACACATTCATCACATACTATTATATTGTCTGATATTTTATCAGCAGTTCAGACAAGATATAGTTTGTGATGGGTATGTATGAGAGATAGTTGCAGTTGTATTATTTTGTTGAATAGTCATAGCCTTCCTTGTTCTTGTAGCTGGAGTTGGCACTATTTTAAAGGGTGTATCTGGAAAGGTACTATTCAGATGAGTACTGTCTAAATGCTTAAGTTGCTGTACATATTTTAGAGACGAGCTGTTTCATATTTTAATTGTTTTATAGGTTATATGTTTCAATGTTATAATGTCTATAGGACTATTTTATAATGTTTTAATTCTTTTAATTCTTAAAGTTTACTGTTATTATTGTGTATTACTTTGATTTTTGATGTGTTTGCATTATTTTTGGCATTGAATGTTTGCTTTTTTTCTGTGTATAAACTGTCCTGAGTCCCTTCTGGGAGAGAGGGCGGTCTAGAAATAAATTGTTGTTGTTGTTGTTGTTGTTGTTGCAAAAAGTACATTTTTTGAAGTCTAGGTTTTTATGACTCAAAGTCAGAGAGTTTTTAACCGTATATGGCATGTGCTGTTGGTTGAGTTGTGGCATATATGGACTAGTGGGATCATGATGTGTCCTGGTTCGTGCTCTATTTTAAACTGTGTTGTAGAGCAATAGAGGGATATTATTATTATTATTATTATTATTATTATTATTATTATTATTATTTCCCCGCTTTATCTCTCCTGAAGGAGATTCAAATATCTCCTATTGAAATCATTAGGAGGGAAACTACTTGTATCACATACATACTTGCTGCACAATTGTATGGTTGACAATGGTGTGTTCATGGTTGCTGCAGTGTGCACTTATACTTAGGTGAATATTGAATAAACGTTCCCTCAGCCTTTTTTGACCATTCTGATAATGTATTTTTGCCAGAAGAATGGCTACACTGGTAGAGCATTCTGCAATCATATTGAAGCTCCCCCCCCCCCCGAATTTATCTTCCATATTGTTAGAATATCTTGTGCTGTCTAGTGTGGGTAAATGTAGTCCTATTTTACAGATCCTTAAATGGCACAATTGAAGTCTAGAATTGCTCAGAAAGTCATCTTATAGTGAAGAAAAGTAATGCAAAAACAATTAGGAGAGCTAAGTTATAATGTTACATGTAATACAGTAATTCTTGCGGGTTGCTTTTGATCAAAGCTGCAAACCTTAATTATGAAATGATATAAATTTTTAAAATAGTCATTTAGGAATGGCAATGCTTTAGAGTTACTAAACAGATAATTTGAAATTGAAGAACAGGATCTACATGACTTGGTATGGATTTAACCACACTCTCTGTAGTGATAGCCAAGGGATAGATTTTGCTGAAACATTTTGCATTATTAATTAAACCCACTGAAAACAAAACTCTTACAAGCAATTAGAAACCTAATTAATATCATGATTCAGAAAGTGTAAGTTACAGTACTTTTTTTGCTATAATTGCATATACACTGTAAAAGTTTTTTAATGCTAAAGGAAACATAATTTAATGCATGGAAAAATAGTTAGCAAATGCCCTATACACATGCCATACATTCCAGTCAATGGAATCAAGAAAAAATATTTCACATGAGAGAAATTAATTGAGCCTTTTGATATTTTATCTTGCATATTTTTTTACAATGGAGAGTTCAATATACTGGATTCTCATGCACTGCTTTAGAAGGAATAGTTTTGGGGTGTAAGTTACAGTACTGTTAGGTCCTGTTGAAAGACAGGACCTATCAAAAGACAATAGATTTTTTATGTGTCTGTTTTATGTTGACTGCAGATAAAAATGATTGAGTCCCTGCACCTTTAACAATTTCTTTTCTTCTGATTTATGTATGATTCTCATAGTTTCTGATTTTAAAAGTATAAAGATTCATAACAGACTTTCAAACACTTTAAAACATTTTAAATTAACTCCAGTAGAGTGTGTTAGTTGTAACACTGAAGGAATCTGCTACAATTTACTTACAGATTCTGGAAGCACTTGCAAAAAGTGATGAGGAATTTGTGCAAAACTGTAACAGCCTAAATAGTCTGAATGAAGTAATACCTCCTGACTTGCAAAGTAAATTCAGCACCATTTGCAATGAGAAAATGGAACACATTTGCAGAAGGATTACTAGTTACAAAAAGGTAAGGGTGAAAAGGTATGCTTGAAAAAAACCCCACAAATATTCAGCTGAGCTAAGCACGTATAACCAAAATAACTGCATGCCCTCTTTTTGTTTATACTTGCCTCTATTATCTCTCTTTCTTTTTTTCTGTTGTTTTCTCTGAACCATATTCATGTCAACAAACCCTGCCTAGAATCATAGAGTGGAAAGAAACCACAGGGGCCACCTAGTCTATCTCCTGGTCATGAAGGAATGCACAAAATACTAGAAGTGTGCATTTTTTGTTAGTCCTCATAAGTCATATCAAATTTGTTAAATTCGTACTTACGAGGCAATATCCGACACATGGGCATGCCCCATGCCAAAAATGTAAGAATCAAAACTTTTTCATTTCCATTTTGTATATTTCAGAAGCCTCCTAAAGTCGGTTTTATTTTCAGCACAAGGAATCAAAGCAAAGCCAGAGGGCTTCCTCTCCTCTTTAAATTAATGGCCTATTGCCATGAGGAAAGGAAAAGTGGGGAGAAAGCAGAGTTTGCTGGGAAAGAAAGCACAGAACTCTGGGAAATGTATTTTGGGAAAGTGAGGAGCCCTATGGCTTACAGGCTACTAAGATCCCTGACAACGTACTTAGCCCCCTTTGAATGTCTGTAATGTTTCTCAATCAATATGAATATTGATATCAGTTATTAGGCTATCTGCCTTATTTAATTTTTTTGCCTACCTCTCATCTCTGTTTAACTTGACTGCTGTAGAGGGGTGTTTTTATCCCCTAGTCAGAATTTCTATGCATGCAATCCTTTTCATATAGTTCTTGACTACTGTAGAATAATTCATTATGTTCTGTACAATGTCTACGATAATAAGATAGTACTGAGTCAGGAAGAAGAATATTGGCACAACTATATGGGGAATTACTGCATCTGATATTACCTTAATATAAATTCATACAGTCATTTATTGCTCAGAAAAGACCTTTCCAAAATCCATTAACATGATGCATAGTTGTTGTTTCAAAAATGTTTACCGTTCTTGATAGCTGTTAGTAATGTGCCTTATTCCAAGAGCAGCCATGCTTTTATTTTAGAGAGGTAAATGTCACCATAGTAACAAAAGTGTCTGAGAATTCTTTAGCCGTGCTGTTAGTTTCGCTGTGAAAGTTTGCAATCTATAAATAGAAGCCTAGTGGCTTCCTGTGTTTCTTATTATCCCATTATTTCGAACAGAAGTTTTAGTCCAGCATAATGCTCTCCAGGTTTTTCAAGCATATGTATGAAAACTATTTTGGATAATACTTACTGTCTCATTGAATTATATCCAGGCTTTTGGTTTCTGTGGGAGATAATGTGTGGGAGGTTCAAATGTGAAATATGCGCTGCTCTTCTTCCTGTTTAAATGCCCTTAATGCCTTTGTTGCATTATTTCACATCTTTCAAGCCAATAGTACTAGATTATCTGGACAGAAGTATTATGAAGAGCACTTAATGTCTATACCATAACAGTTCGTGATCAAATCCCACGCAATTTAGATTTTTGGCAAACTTGGGTTCAAAGCATATATGGTATTCTTTGTTTATATGTGAGTTTAGGAAATCATTATGGCTGTTTATAGATGTAACAGAAAGTATCCACCATTAATATGACTGTTAGTAAGAATATTATCAATGTAAATGCCTATTGGGCCCCCTGGTGGCACAATGGGTTAAACTGCTGAGCTGCTGAACTTGCTGACCAAAAGGTTGGTGGCTTGGATCCAGGGAGCGGGGAGAGCCCCCACTGTTAGCTCCAGCTCCTGCCAACCTAGCAATTCGAAAACATGCAAATGTGAGTAGATCAATAGGTGCTGCTTCTGCAGGAAGGTAATAGCGCTCCATGAAGTCATGCTGTCCACATGACCTTGGAGTTGTCTGGCTCTTTGGCTTAGAAATGGAGGTGAGCACCACCCCCCAGAGTCAGACACAACTGGACTTTACATCAGGGGAAACCTTTACCTTTCATTGCCTTTATTTCTAGGTTATGGTTACCTAAAACATGTATTTTTTTTTCTCTTGAGCTTGACAAAGTAAGCCAGGATTATCATACTTCATGAAATTGGGAATATCCCTTTAGATTGGTTGGACCAATTGACAATATTTAGGATATCAAAGTTCAAATCCCAGGATGGTGGTTTGAACATTGGACTACGTCTCTGGAGATGGGGTGTCAAATCCTCACTTGACCATGGAAACCCACTGGTTGATTGCGAATAAGTCACATCTTTTTGTCTTTAGAGAAAAGCAAATATATCATCAAGAAAACCATATGTTGAGGTCTCCACAAATCAGAGTTGACTTGAAGGCACATAACAAAAACATCAAACACAGCTGAGGTAGCACCCCACCCCCGAGTTGTTCTGGATATTTCTTTGAAATAGCAATAGTGCAAAAAGTGGACAGCAGTCCTAAACATTATAGCCAGTGATGACAAATGCCAAAGATCACATTTTAACAGTCTCTGTAGGACTGCGTGTTTCCTAATTGTGCAGTTGTCATTGCATGAGTGATTGGCATATGTACTAGTTGTGATGGTGAGTACATTTCTGGAAGTTCAGGTTTTATATTATACTCCTACTAAGTGGATAAGAGGCATGTTTGTTACTGCAGGAAAGATACACTAGTCCTTCCTACAAGTGTTGTAAGCAAGCAGAAAATTTGTCTATACACTCATGATAGGATTTTTTTAAAGTTGGTATTATATTGTAATTCATGATAGTGGATAGCTCTATCTATAGTGACAGATCATCACTGCAGATGATCAGTCACTATTGGAGCCCCCAGTGGTGCAATGGATTAAACCTTTGTGGTGGTAGGACAGCTGAGCGACAGGTCAATGGTTCAAATCTGGGGAGAGCAGGTTGAGCTCCCTCTATCAGCTCCAGCTCCCCATGTGGGGACTTGAGAGAAGCCTCCCTAAAGGATGGTAAAGCATCAAACACCCAGGTATCCCATGGGCAACACCCTTGCAGATGACCAATTCTCTCACACCGGAAGCATCTTGCAGTTTCTTAAGTTGGTCCTGACATGGAAAAAAAATCACTTTAGAGAGCTTATGTTAATATCTTGTCATTACAAAATACTTATCACTTGTAGAACAGTCAGTAAAATGAGAATACAAGTTAGTAAACTGAAATCAAAAAGGTGTTTTGTTCCATTATTTTGTGTGTTTTCAAGATGTTTTTGATTGATGGCAACTCTAAGACACAAGTGTTTTCTTGGTTAGATTTGTTTAGAGGAGATTGCCCTTTCATTTCCTCTGAGATTGTGTGACTTACAAAAGATCATCCAGTGGGTTTCCTTGGACGAGTGGAAATGTGAACCCTAGTTTCTAGAGTAATAATTGTATACTTCACTGTTTTTTTTAAATTAAGTACAAATGAGTACATTTTCTCACTTTTGAAAAACAAATCAGCAAAAAGATTTCAATATCCAAATCTTTTAAAATATAACAATTTTAATATTAGTTTTGATACTAAAATAAACTTTATGCATTCCATTTTTCACTTGCAGTTTTCACGGGTTTTAAAAAATCGAGCTTGGCCTACCTTCAAGCAAGCCAAGTCAAAGATTTCTCCACTACACAGCAGTGATTTCTGTCCAACAAATTGCCACATCAATGTGATGGAAGTCTCATATCCTAAGACTTCAACATCAGTTGGCAGTGCCTTTGGTGTCCAGTTGGATAGCAGAAAACATCTATCACATGAAAAAGAGAACAAATATACTGACCAAGGTAAGGCTCAATGATTTCCCCCTCCTTTTCCCCATCACACAAGCATCTTTCTGACATTAGCATTGGAGCTCCATTTTGATTCCGCCTTGCCACTGCTTCAGATGGGAACTGTGTGTGTGGCCACCTTCATAAATTAAGCAGGCAGTGTAGATAAAGCCAAACATGCATTTGAAGAAGATACCCTAAAACCTATTTTTATAACTCAATTTTTAATTATTTTGCTTAATTATGCTTTATCATGCTGAAGTCTAAATAATATTTGCTATTACTGCATAGGTCGATTTCTTCCCATAAGGGGAAGTTATAATTTATCATTTATTCAGTCACTTGTTATTGCTTCTCTCCCTGTTTTTTCCTGATTAACCAGCAAATCCTTAGATAACTCACATTTTTTTCGCCTCCATTACTTATATCTGTGGGGGAAATGTCTTTAGATAAGCAAGTTGCAACTTTGGCTACTTCTTTTGTGTTTTGGATTGACCTGGGAGTGCTCTAAATCTAAGGCATAGCCGGTAAAAAGCTAGCTTTAAGCTACTGTTTAAATGATTTATTGGACCTTTCTTGATTCCTAACCTCAATAACCTATGCGTGTTTCATGTCTATGTGAAAAAATGAACCTCTAACTTAGGAACAAATAAAGAGATCTAAAAATTCTACACAGTTGAATGCTTATGAGAAGCCCACAGGAAGGACATGAGTAAAATAGTACCCCATTCTTAATGTTTCTTAGCAATGTGTATTCAGAATTATATTCTGATATTTAAGGGAAGCATGTGGCCACAAATAGCCTTTTTCTTCCATGAGTGCATGATCTCCTTTTAAAGGTATCCAAATTAACAGTCATTTTACCACGCTTCAGCCCCCCCACCCCCGAAATTCTCACGGTGGTTCGCGAAAAGCCCTTACTGGTGCATTATTTAAACTGTTATGTTTAGTCTATCATGATCTGATCACCATGCTCAATATATCCCATATGCATGGGGGTATTGGGGTAATGATACAAAACGTTTGCTAGCGTAGACCCTTTTTCACTCAGACTCAGCCCCCCCCCCCGAATCGAAATCTTAGCTACAGGCCTGGTTGTCTACATTTTATGGGGTTTTCGTTCCAGAATTCCTCTGCAGATGCCAACAAAAGCAGATTATGTTCCATGTTATTAAATGGTGGTGATGTGAATGAGGACACTTCAGTGTGTCTATGCCAACTATGCCATGACAATCCACAGTTGATGGAAATTGTGGATCCACAGCTCGCAGAGCCAGAGAATCTACTGCAATTGCTACTTTATATATTTCTCTAAGAATTTAAATATATAATGTATTCATTCATTTCATTTATATTATCCTTAGCCCTACCCTTTTCTCTTCCTCCACTAGTTAGTATTCAGTTGTTCAGACTGGTCATCATTCTGTAGTTTGCATTTTTCTTTCTTCTCTCAGAACATGTTTCAGAGACTTCCCCATGAAATGTAATGTCACCTTTTGTAGCTGTAAATAAATATATTTCATATCATTTTATCAAAGAAGGCTAAATTTTTGTTAGACCTCTGTATGGTGGTAGTGTAGGACTGGTTATTGTTCCTGCTTGCACATACGAATTACTATGCTTGTGAGACAAAATTACTGTGTTTCCCTTTCTCTACAGTCTTTTTGCAATTTCTATTTGTCTTCCTCATCTGCTATGGCTTCTTCGCAAATTGTTTTATTGCTTCCCAGTTAGTATTTATTAGAAAGATTCTACTCAGTTAGTAACCACATGACAACATTATGACACCGCTTAGTGAATCATATTCAATTGTATGTTGAGTTGCTAGGAAAATGCAGGCTATTCAAAGCAAGAGCCACCATTCCTGAATAGTTTAATCCCATTTTGTTCCTTTTTTGTGTGTGACTCCCCACTTCCCACCTCCCCACTGACTTCCCACCTTAGCAATAACTAAGAAATCATTTAGAATATCAGTCTTAGAGAAAACCTAGTGAATAAACAATGTGTTTTTGATTGAAGTGCTTCTTGATTTTGAAAATATTTAACAACAAACACTCTCCCTTTTTTGCTTACAGTGTTTTGTTTTCCCAAGTACTTATTTATAGCTACTTATGATTGATTTTACTGAGAGGTGCCTATGATTTTCAATGATTTGGATTGCTTTAATATACTGATTTTAATCTTTGAAAAACAGAAAAACATGTTTTACTAGCATGGAGGCAATTTTAATTATACCAGGGGTGTGGAAAGAATGAATTTCTGTGCCTTTTTTGTCTCTAGCATCAGCATGCAGATATTCTGGAGATGTATAAGTAAGGCTTGTGTTTTAAACTCAAGAATGGTCATTATGGAAATAATCAGAGTACCTGATAGCATATATTATTTATTTATTTATTTTAAAATTCCATCATTTGCAGGTAAACTGAATCCCATGGTCTATGTACAACATACAATCACTACCATGGCAGCTCCTTCAGGACACTCCTTAAGTCAACAGGATGGCCATGGTTTGAGATATCTGTTAAATGAAGAGGATCTGGAAACACAAGATGTCTATCAGAAATTGTTGTGCAAGTTGCAGGCTGCACTAAAAGAGGTGGAAAACTGTGTTTCACAAATAGATGAGTAAGTAAATCATTAGAATATATTTTAGAGATTCTGAACATTAACAGATAAATAGAAAATAGTGATCAAATTAGTATAGGTACTGAAATACTTATGTGCACTATGTATTTTATTAAGAATACAAAGAAATTGCACCTTCTCTTATACTATAACATAAATACTATCAAGCCAAAACATGTATACTTATCAGATGAACCAAGAAATAGATTGCATATTCTTAGAAATAATCAATTTCTTTTCATTAATATTTTCATGTTAGTATTCTAGCAACTTTTTGCTTACTAAATTGTTAATGTCACCGCTATTCCACTATAAATTTACATGATGTAATATCAGTATTTTAATTTTTTATCCTTTTTATATTATAAGCATAAATAAATTCTGTGAGTCACATAGTTGAAAAGGTGAACACTACACACAAGGAGTCTTACATAAAGTGTTTTGTAACAATAATTCTATATAAAATAATGTAATAGAGTTAGGTTTTACAAACCTGCCAGTCTTAAATTGTCAAACTTTAAATAAAATCGCCATTCTATTATTACTGGTTTGCTTGCTTTAACTGTTGGGTTTTAGTTAGTATACTTATTTCTTCAGAGAGTGATAGTTTATCAGCTTTTGAGTTTTTATGATGTATTGTAGTTTGGTCCAGTAAAATTTGATAACATAACCTAAGCTAATGATATTGCCTGCAGAATGGTATTAGAGTATAATTTGTGCAGTCACAGATAAATAGAAAATAGTGATCAGATTAGTATGGATACTGAAATACAGATGTGCACTATGTATTTTATTAAGAATCTGTGTAAGTCCCCTTCGGTGTGAGAGGCAGGATATAAATACAGTAAATAAACAAATCATCCTATTTGAAAGTTGTCTGCTTTGTAAGACTATTGCATTTTAGATCTGTGTCATTTTCATTATACAGTTCACATATTTTCATAGTAATGTACAGAAGATTTTTATTATTATTATTAAGAAGAATGTATGCAATTGCAGCCTTCTCTCTTCAATAACATATTCACCAAGATCAGAGCATAAAACCCACGAACCATTAACATCACCAGACAGTGATAACGAAAAAGGAGAACGCAATGGGAAAAAGGTCTGTTTCAGCGTAACTGGTGATGAGCAAGAAGATTCTGGTCACGATACTATTAGCAACAGGGATTCATATAGGTAAGTGGGCCTTACCTCCATCAATAAGAGGCCAGTATATGGATTATGTTCTGTGTTTGAGTAAATAGTATAAATCTTAAAAATTCCACAATGAAAATGAAACATAGTGTTTATCAATCAGCTAAAATTAAATGGAAGATAATGTTATTTTGTACTTTCAAAATTGTTTTTCCTCTCAGTGCTTTCCTCATGTCATCCACATTTGAGCTCAGAATTAGCAAAGATAGGCTCACAGTTAGGAGGTTAGGAGAAGATCTGCAATTGAAGAATGCATTGCAACTCCTCATCCCAACCCATCAGATCTTGTCTGCTCCTGCCTCAAAAATCCTGGTGGACATAACAGGGTCAAATTGGCACCCACTCTTGAGTGAATCAGATTTTAGTTAAACATCGCAGTCAGTGGGATTATCCAAGATCATGTCCTAGATAATACAGATTTTTCAGTCATTGACCTGGCCTTAAGCCGGAGTATTTTGTGATCTGATGGGGTTCTCCTAGAATAGCCAGGAATAGCCAGGAATCATGTTGGTGAAGCTGAAGAAGGGACAGACACAAGATGTCTCTCTCCATTCTTCCTCCAATGGCTTGTTCTGTTTCCACTCCTCGAGCTCCTTATATTTTCTGAACATGCATTTAACTAACCAGAAATACAAAGCAAATAAGCAATTAGAAACAAACTCATAGGTCTGTTTATCTTGAAGAATTCCTGATGCTTAGCAAAGGATTCTACTCAATAGGTGCTCCATTTCCTTCCTTCCTAATATATAACAGCTTGTCTTGCTCTGTTGCCCACTCTATCTGGATTTAATAGGCAAAACAGGACTTTGTTGGAAGATTTTGGCAATATGTGCCTTTCTCTCTGTCGAAATATTAATACATATGGAATTTTCATGGATTTTTTTAAGAAGTCCCAAACTGATGAGAAAATGGGATGAAATATATGTATAATGGGAAAATGGTAAACTAAAAAGAAAGTGGAACTATAACAGATTTGTTTTTCACTAAGAATTTGGAACATTAGATTCATTTACCTTGACTGGCATAAGCCTGCTTAGCTCTATGTTGGATTGTAGCCTTGGGCATTATTTTGTTAAGCTTTAAAATTATACAGTATTGAGCTTTTTATCTCAGGGGGAAAATAAAATGTACTGTGTGTCGTGTTTAATGGTATAAATAACTTTGGTAAAGTAGTGCAAAGAATGTCTGGACAAGAGTGGGGAAAAAAGGATAAGAAAGACACTATTGAAATGTAAATGTTCTGAAAGGATTTATCCTCTTGTGTATTTCTTTCCTTTGTTTAGTGACTGCAACAGCAACAGGAATTCTATTGCTTCTTTTACCAGCATTTGCAGTAGTCAGTGCAGTTCTTACTTCCACAGTGATGAAATGGATTCTGGTAATTTTTTAAAAATGTACTTTTCTGTGTGAGTTTTGTTGGCTGATTTGTGCAGTTCTTTATTCAAGTGGATGAAAGAAATGTCTTTCTTTCTTTTGCTTAAGTGCTGTAATTAGTTGTATGTGTGCATGTTCTCCAGAAGCTTCAATTTCCAGTACAAATGAAGTAGATCTCTTAAGAAATGATAATCTGTCTTAGTTACAGCTACAATTTCCTTCTGTAGTCTTGCAATAGGAATACTTGATAATTAGAGTGGATTGTAAGAATCATATTAATCCCCTCCTCCGAATACCATTGGCACTGGCACATTGTACTCTTTACAACTACAGTGGTGCCAAAGACCAGTGTTGACAGCATAAAGCTCCTGATTTGGGAATGAATGCAGGCTCCAACTCTCTGTTGGTTGCCTTTCCCATTGTAGGGCAAAATGTTTCTCATTTCACTGTCTGTTTCTTAAGAAAGCGAATTGCATGTTCCTTATTTATTTTCAGAAGTACTATCTATTAAAATGCCACAATCCTTTTCTTAAGTATGTTGTTTTTTCCATCTTTGCCAAAATGGCTGGGATGAGATATTTTGTCCAGATCACCCCCCCCCCCCAAACACACATACACATTGCCTTTGGGGGTTGGTTGCTGAGCTGCCATGGCAATGATCTACTCCAAGGAAATGACTTTCCCCACCATTTGGTAAAATAACAGGATTTGAATGTATTGTCGAAGGCTTTCATGGCCGGAATCACTGGGTTGTTGTAAGTTTTTCGGGCTATATGGCCATGTTCTAGAGCAGTGGTTGTCAACCTGGGGTCCCCAGAGGTTTTTGGCCTACAACTCCCAGAAATCCTAACAGCTGATAAAGGTTTCTGGGAGTTGTATTGTCGAAGGCTTTCATGGCTGGAATCACTAGGTTCTTGTGGGTTTTTTCGGGCTATAAGGCCATGTTCTAGAGGCATTTCTCCTGACGTTTCGCCTGCATCTATGGCAAGCATCCTCAGAGGTAGTGAGGTTTGTTGGAAATAGGACAATGGCTCCAACAGTTTGAGAAACCTTCTCAACCTCTGAGGATGCTTGCCATAGATGCAGGCGAAACGTCAGGAGAAATGCCTCTAGAACATGGCTCTATAGCCCGAAAAAACCCACAAGAACGTAGTGATTCCAGCCATGAAAGCCTTCGACAATACATTGAGGCCATATAGCCCGAAACCTCTGAGGATGCAAAACGCCTGCGTCTATGGCAAGCATCCTCAGAGGTAGTGAGCTACCTCTGAGGATGCTTGCCATAGATGCAGGCAAAACATCAGGAGAGAATGCCTCTAGAACATGGCCATATAGCCCGAAAAAACCTACAACAACCCAACAGGATTTGAGTTTCTAGAAAATAGAAATTTCATTTTGTGAAAGTAGACATTAATCTTACAGTAGTATTGCATTTACCCATGTTGAAGAAAGATTAATTGGACTGTTAATGATACTACCAACTGTTGCATATTACTAGTAATATCACTATAAACAGCACTAAATTCCCACGCTGTTATTCCTGATGTTTTATATACAGTATTGAAATGGAAACCTTACAAATTGAGTATGGTGTGCTTCCACATTTAAAGCACAGATCAGACATGAAGTCTCTTAATACTTGGCTACTATTTTATAAGTTTTTTTCTTCCCCTAGTATTAATAAATAGGAGTTTAGTGCCTTGATCCAGGGAAATCATGCTACCCCTCTATTCTGCCTTGGTCAGACCACCCCTGGAATACTGTGTCCAATTCTGGTGATTTAGTAGTTTAGATCATTTAGAAAATGATGATAGTAAGTATCCCTTAACCTGAATTAAAGTATCAAGGAAAGTAAAAGAAATCATGGTGAAAAAGTTAAAGACTACACATTTCAAATTCCCTTAGCCATAATAATATTTTCTGAAGTCTGGGGGGGGGGGGGGGGGGGGAGTTAAGTGAGTATTTCATTCTCCCAGAAGGAAAGGCAAAGCACTGCTCTCACAATCAGTTTGTAACTATATAAAAATAGTAATAGTATTAATAATCTAGATATAGAGTCTGAATAGTCTGTTAATGTCTTAAGACAAAGACAATTTCACATACTGTTTTAATAGGTGATGAACTTCCTCTGAGTATACGCATTTCTCATGACAAGCAGGACAAATTACATGGCTGTTTGGAGCATCTTTTTGGTCAGGTAATTCAGTTATTGCAATTACACAATTAATACCAGTTTGATAAACTGCTTTTTATAATTTTGTTTGCCAATAGGTCCAATTGTCAGCCCTGAGTTTTCTGCAAACTTTGTGGGTTCTTGGTCACAATGTTACATCCACTGACAGATAAGGACTTATGCATTGACCACACATGTATATTTGTTATATTACTGCACTCAAAGCCTGTGATATTCAGGTGGGGGACACAGAAAACAACTAGGTTATTGGTATAAGTGGGTTGGCTTTCACTTGAGGAACTTTGCTTTGCATAGTAAATAATAGGATCTTATTGCACATTTCTTGTTTAGATTTTCACAACTGTATTTACTTAATTATTGGTCATAATATTTATTTTCCCTTTTGCAATTATTCTCATGTAAAATTTCATATATTCAGATAACTGGAGTGTCAGATTGCAAATAAAAAAATCCACTGTGTTGACTTGGAGGCTGGCGAGTTTTGCACAGTGTGGCCCTGAAAAGGCATGTCAGTTGGATGGTGTCCACATGGTCTAGCTGGAACTGGTTTGCCACCACTGGACTGCCGTGCTTCATTTATTCTGTTAAACTGGCCTTAGCATTGATCACCGGGCACAAACATGGTGATTGTCAGGACTCGGTGCCTGTAGTGATGATAGCCTGAGTGATGAAGCATGGCCTTAGCAGTGATCACCGGGGACAACATGATGATGGTCACAACTTGGTGCATGTAGTGATGATAGCCAGAGTGATGAAACAATGTGACTGAGGAGAGGAGAGAAAGGAATAATTGCTTCCCACTCCCTCTTTGTTCTGATTTCCACATTATTCTGGGTGTTGTCACTACAAGCACTGAGTGATAACCATTTCTGGATTTGTGCCTTTTGGTTCCAGCTAAGAATGACAGAATAAGGAAAGTGCCATCCCCTGTCCCGAGATAACTGGAACCCAGAAAAAGCAGGAACAGTCATGGGCCCTTCCAAATAAGTAGTAGCCCAACTATTTATACTGGTACAGAATCCTATAATGCTTCAGCGAAGCTTTGGAGCATGCTGGACTTTAAAAACATGGGACGAGGCCACATTAACCTTGTATGTACTGTGTAGCACATAGTCTGTTTGCTTCCACATTGACTCACATGGCCATGTAGATGGTCCCTGTGTTGGTATCAATAGAATTGCTAGTGTTAACTTGAACAGACTCACTGAAGTCCAAGGAAGGCAGCAAAAACATACTGGCTACTCTCCTTTCTAAAAAGTAGCCTGATCCACATCTTTATCAGAGTACTCCACTGTGCATTGTTAGGTTTGGTGGTTATGACAGGACCTCTCATATATGCCCATGCTCTTCTGTTCTTGTCTTGTTCAAAAATGTACTTCAATCAAAAATTTACTTCAGTATTCTATAGAGATATTTTTCAAACTCAGTTTCCTTCTGATTCACCATTTCCTTTTTTTCACCTAACAGGTAGATTCAATTATTACTCTACTGAAAGGACCGGCAGTAGCAAGAGCTTTTGAGCAGACCAAGTTCTTCACACCAGGTCGAAGTTTGCAAGGTATTATTGAAAGCAAACAGTGGCAGTCAATGGGGCTTCCCATATAAGCAGTCTGGCTTCCAAATTTGAGTTTGTTGCAATAGTTTGTTAATTGCAAACACGTTCTTCAAATAACCAAAGATATGTGTGTATATGTGAACATTACCAATATAAAAATTAAATATTGTTTGTAATTGGAAGCAGAAGCTTGAAAAGCTCCATGCTCACAACAGAAACCAAGACCAGGAGCAAATTGTGGCCTAGACTATGAATTGCCAATATTACAAATTATAATAAAATTAAAGAAAGAAGTCCATCATTGTATTAAAATATCACCTGAAAAACACACCCATAGAACTTTAAGGGCACCTAAGGAACGACTTTGCACTTGGTTGTTGTGTGCTTTCAAGTACCGTATTTTCTCATTTATGCCAACTCTAGCATGGGATTTTATTTGAAAGATTGGTTCAGAAGGGGTTTGGAATGGACTGTAAGACTATTCAAATGGATGTGTTATATGAATTTCAATTGGTAATTTTCTTTTGGACTAGAATTTCAGCAGGAAATTGAACTTAAACTCAGCTGTCCAAAGCGACTGAGACTTCATATCAAGCAAGACCCTTGGAATCTTCCTAGTAGTGTTCAGAATCTTTCCCAAAACATCAGAAAGTTTGTTGAAGGTCAGTAGCTCAGTAGTCTTTATAATGCTTTATAATATGTTGAGGTTTTTCCTACTTCTAATGTAGAATCTGTAGAAGTTTGTGATAAATAAATTCCAGAAATGCTGCATAACCCCAGTAGCTTGGCTAGTTAAGTTAATTAAATCTAATTTACTAAAAGAAAGACATACAGCCGGTGTTCAGAAATGGTAGTCCTCACTGCCATTTTAATGGGAAATTATCAGAGGGCTACGTTCCTGCAGTGCTACATTCATGGAACTCCTCATTGAAATCTGCTAATTTAATTTTGTCTCCACTAAATAACAAGGAAAAGGGGGAACAAGCAAAAGGATAATTATAAAGATATTCATTGGAGTGATTCAGCAGATGTATCCATGTGGGAATTAAAATCTCATTCAATTTGGCTTCAGTCCATATTTTTTAAGTTGACAACTATTTTGACCACATCCATTGTACAGATTTATTTATGTGACATACTATGATATATCTGCTCACTGTCTCATGACTGCAAAGGAACATATGCTGCATTTTATAAAGAAAAATACTGTAGGATTTTAGAGTTGAATTATGAAGTATTGTCAGAAGAGGAAAACAATGTTTTAATTTTTCTTATAAGCTAATTATTACCAAATAATTGTGTTTAAGTACAAAACCCCATCATCCCCTCAACTATCCTATACTAAGTGTTTGTATGCATGTTTCCTTCATATAGTAAGGGAGTATCTCTAAAATAGGAAACAACATCCAGGTAGTACTTCGGATCTGTGGAACTGAAGGAATTATCTTATTTCCCATTTCCCAAACAGGAAAACACTGTTGGTCTTTTTCTGTCTAAGCAAAGGCATCTTGGAGAACTCATTAGAATGCCCTCCTTAATGGTTCAGAGGATCTCATGTACAACAGGATTCTGAAGAAAACAGCATTATAACTTTTATGGACTTTTAAACAGTGAGATTGTCTTTGTGGTGCCATCTTGTTCCCCAGTTCCCAAATGCCCTTTCTGCTTCCTTTGGGTATAAAAGAAGAGTTATTTGTTTATATGTGTAAAGTTCTAGATAATAATACAAGTTGTGTATTTCTATACAATGTAAGCAGAATTCATGGGTAACAGTTGTTAAACTTTGGAGGAATTATGGCTCGTGAGATGGATCTAGGAGTTTTAAACGTTAAATAGAGACTATAAAATCCTTTGAACCAGCATCTAAAGTACTTTTCATGAACTGTAATTGAAAGGATATTGATTCATTCTAGAAGATAACTGAATGGACCTTTGTGGTGATGAAAAACATATCCAGTCTCTCAGAAGCTGTTGAATTTTTGATCAAAGATCTTTTCCATTGTGTATGTTGAATACAAATGAAATAACAACAAGAAGCTATTGAAATTGACATAAATAAGACAATCTAGTTCTTTTTATTTTTTGTATAGTAAATCATGAGAATAAAAATAGAAAACTCATACCATAATTTTCTTAAGATACCACTTGATCAACTGTCCACTTAGATCCAAAGGAGAGTATTAGAAGTACATACAATAAAAAGAACAAGGATTGCACAGTTTTTAGGAAGGTAACAAAGAAATTTTATTAAGTTTTATAAAAAGAAAACAACGAAAGAGTGAGAACAATAAAGTATTAGAAAAGTGAGAAAGCAAAGAAAGGGAGAAGAGAAAGTAACTAATATATTGAACTGAACATAAAATGTATTTGAAGCCTTCTGATTAATTTAAGTGAGACTTGTAATATGGCCAGAAACTTATGAAGAATATTAATGAAGCTGCATGGAGTGCATTTCCATGTGAATATTGACTGTGTAGCACATGTGGTGACTGACTGGAAGTAAGGGAGTGCGACTCCTCTTCATTATAATGACTTTGGCTGATTGTGATGGTAGAATCATAGAATAATAGAGTTTGAAATGAGCACAAGGAATCTTGGAATGTACGTGAATTAGTTAGAGTATATATATGTAGGATTAAGGAAGAAAAATCAACAGAAATACACAATGCAACATGTAATGAAGAGTTGTGCGGTATAGGAACATCCAGAGTCTCCAAATAAACTGCAATCTACACAGTGCAGATCAAATTATATATGTAGTTTTGCACCCCAGCCAGAGTTCACCTTGCCTTCAACACCAACCAGGAATCCAAAAGCGACAGTAAACCAGTTTATTGGAAAAAGTACATCTAAAAAGGGAAGATCACCAAAAGAAATAAGAAAGACAAAATCCAACAGGTAATAATTAAAAATAGTTAACAAGTAAAAGCCCAACCAAACTCGTTAGTAGTAGAACACTTAAAAGGCAATATTCCAAATAACCCAAAAGTTATAAGAAAAACAAAAATCAAAACATGAACAAGAATCCAGATAAACAAGAATCAAAACATGAGGATGAATCCAAAATCAAGGCTATAAGAACTTCTTAAAACATGAATCAAAACTTCCAAGATCTTAGACTAAAATATGAACTGAAACAGGACTTGAGAGCCTTACTATATAACAGCATTGCCTGATCTGAATTCTCAAAAAGACACTTCTCTGATTTAAGGACCACAAAACATGAAGTCATTTCTATGACCTTGACTCCTTTGCCTGTGAGACTTTTTCCACTCTTCCTTCTCATGGAGGCTTTGCAATTTTCAGAGCTTGCTAGATTCCTCCCTAAGATCAAGCCTGATATGCTTGTCGAACATATATGTTCCCTCCATTGAGCTTTCTCGCCCATCCGTGTCTTTATCTGGGGTTGCTCTGCTACTAGTAGGTGAAAGGTCTCCACCAGACTCTGCATCTCCCTGTCTGCTGGACTACGAAACAGTTTCACTTTCAAGACTATTATCACAATCTTGCTCTATAATCCCCTCATTTCCTCATTGAAAGAACCATCCACTACTCTCCCAGGCTCTGAAATACCAACCCCGTCATCTTTATCTGGTTGAACCACAACACTAGTTACTAGATGACTGGACACATTGTTATGATTCCCCGTATCTAATGCTTATTAGAATTGGAATTGTGATTTACCCCAGAATGTCTATTATAGATGTCTTATTTCACTTTGAAGTGGAAAAATTCATATATTAACAGGTTTGCCTCTTCTTGAGATGTACAAATTAAAAGCCTAGTATTGAAATCAATAGAAATTAACACAAAAGTCAAACCTGAATCTCAAATAAGATTTTGTTTTCTCAAAATTTAGAGGTGAAAGCGAGGATCCTTTTGGCACTTCTTGAATATACAGGTAAATTTTAATTTAAGAATGTTGTTTTTTAAAATTCAATGTTGTTAATTTTCCAAACTATTTATCTTACAATATTACGAACTCCAGACATACTTACTGAATGTGAAAGAAAATAAAATTAAGAAATAGTGTGGACCGTGTGAAATTTACATGAATTCATGTGAATTTGAATACCATCACATCAGTATGGTTTCATGGTTTGTGTGTTTAACTTATTCAAAAGAGTTCCACTTAAATAACCATTTCTAAATATAACAAGAGAAATGATAAGGAAGGGGAAGAATGAACAAGCAAACAGAAACTTCATTGAAGATGTGTGGAAAGGAAGTATGTAAACCTGAAGAGGATTGTACGAGATAGAAAATTTTAAGTGTCCTTGCAATATGAGTACATGAAATGCATTATGAATGAATTTTCCTATCTCATACTTATTTTACTCAAAGAGAATTCTTTCTGAATACACATATATAAGATCAAACTTACACATATATAAGATCAAGTTATATAAAGATGATAACTCAGAAAGCTCTTTTTATCCAAGCAAGTCAAAATGTGGTCCTGTATTGGGTAAAAACGCAGGATAGAAATATATAAATTTAAATAATAAAATTTTCATATCGTTCCTTGATGCCTTAAGTGTTGTAGAAGTATTTCATAATTAGGTTCCTCTATAATTTCACCATAATCTACAAAGATGCTAAATCACAATGTTTGCAGATTACAGTCAAGATAAACTGCATGCACCATATTACTTGGTGCCTGATACCAATCTTGTTATATGTCTAGGCGTCTATTAATACTCCAATAAGAGTCCAAGGGACATCCTGTCTTTTGCTCTTAATGGAGTTGTCATTCGGAATTTTAATTTGAAACTGGATTTTTTTTATCATGAATATTAGCCAATAGCATTCTTTCAAATGTTGAGACTCCTAGCAGACTGTCCTGATGAGTGATGGCAGATCTTCACTTTTATTATTGCAGATGTGAAAACAGTGGCAATGTTCTCAATGTAAAGGTGCCTGTGTCTGCATATTTGCTTTACTGTAAACTTATTTTTATTTACCTTTCCTCTTTATTATTCCCTTGCCAGATAGTGAGATACAGCTCAGGAGAGACATGGTTTTCTGCCAGAGTTTAGTGGCCACGGTTTGTGCTTTTTCAGAGCAACTAATGGCTGCCTTAAATCAGATGTTCGACAATACCAAGGACTGTGAAATGGACACACAGGAGGCCAGCAGAAGATGGCTAGAACAGATATCCACTGCAGGTGTCCTCCTTTACTTCCAGTCATTGTTGTCACCAAACCTGGTGAGAATTTATTTATTTATTTATTTATTTACTGCACTTGTAGACCGCCGTTCTCAGCCCTGGGGCGACTCACGGCGGTGTACAACATGTAAAATCAGGTACAATTCACAACATAAGCAATATCAAAAACAACATTAAACAACATCACTATCAATAATACAATAACACTAAATCATTCGCTACGTCTCATCGTTGAATCACAATCCAATCTCGTTATCCATGTTCCGTTCCAATCGTCATTGCCAATTGTTGCAGCACTTACTCNTGGGGGACAGTATAGAGCCCTGTGGAACCCCACAAGTCAAAGGCTGTGGCGTTGAACAGGTGTCCCCCAATATCACCTTCTGGGAGCGGCCTTCCAGAAATGACCGGAGCCACTGCAGAACAGTGCCCCCGAGGCCCATTTCCGCAAAACGCCCCAGAAGGATACCGTGGTCGACGGTATCGAAGGCCGCTGAGAGGTCCAGGAGCACCAACAGGGACACACTCCCCCTGTCTAGCTCCCGGCGCAGATCATCCACTAAGGCGACCAAGACCGTTGTAAAGATCCCTTACCTTGCCAGCCAGGGTGGCAGGGCCCAGGAAGAGACAGGCTAGGTAGTTTCAGTTAGAAGGCCTGGCAGAGAGCTGCTGGAGCCATCTTAGTTTAGGGAAAGAGCTCCAGTTCAGAGAAGGGGGAGTGGCCGAGGCCTGTGCCAGCCCAGCAACAGCCAGGATTGGTTTAGGGAAGAGGGGCGGAGTTAGTCAGTTGGAGGGAAAGAGAAGAGATAGTTTTGACAGTTCAGTTTTTAGTTCAGCTGAGTTCTGAGTAGAGTGAAAGCAGTTTAGTTCTGGAGAGAGATTAGAGTAGGAGTTGGATTGTTTAGGAGTCTCTGTGAAGAAAAGGCAGTTTGCCTGTAGTTTGCACAGCACAGTAGGCTGTGGCAGACTGAGTTACAGCTATTTTGGGAAAGAAAATAGCTGGGGGTTTTATGTTTAAGAAATTGTAACTAAGAAAAGAACATTCTCTCAAGTAACCAATACGCTTATAAGAAACAAGAACACTTTTATCTGTAACCATCAAGCCTCTGAACCTGCATATCACTTGTAAATCTATAATTTGTAAACAATAAACTCTTTCTTGTTATTTTTAAAAGTCAAGCCTGAGTCAAGTGCCATTTTTGGTTTTGAATCCTTTTCCTTATTGAATCAACCTCTTCTGTTTCCCCTCACAGAAAGCCCTTGATAACACACAGCCTTTGGTGGAATAAAAAGCCTTTTAATAATTTAAACAGCCTTTTTAACATTTTAAAAAATAGCTAGAGGGTTCGTGATTTCTTTAGTTTTGGTGGCAGCGAAAGTTTTACATAACGTGACATCCCCTCAAGCACTATTAGAACCAAGGTGGTGTGAATTCCTTATTTAAGGAAGGACGGTGGTGGGATTCGTTTGACCCCCTGCCCAGACGCCTCTTCTGAGTTATTATAATTGGTGGCAGCGGTGGGATTTCTTTGATTGTTTCCCCCCTGCCTTGATAAGCCTCGAAGACCCTTATAACCGTCTCAGTTCCATGTCCCGGCCTGAAACCAGACTGTGCCGGATCCAGATAATCCGTGTCTCTCAAGAATACCTGGAGTTGTGAGGCCACCACGCTTTCCATGACTTTGCCCAAAAAGGGGAGATTGGAAACAGGCCGAAAGTTGTCAAATTTAGTGGGGTCCAGTGATGGTTTCTTCAACAGCGGTTTTATAATAGCTTGTTTTAAGCTTGCTGGAATTTCGCCTTCCCGGAGGGAGGCGTTAACCACCACCGTTACCCACTCAGCCAATCCCCCTCTGGCCTCCTTCAGAAGCCAGGATGGGCAGGGGTCTAGGATGGACGCAGTGGGCCTCATTCCTCCAAGTATCTTGTCCACATCCTCGGGCTTCACAAATTGAAAAGAATCCATCAAAATAGGACAAGCAGGTGCTCGTGTCACATCCTCAGAGACTGCATTTAACATGGTGTCTAGACCAGAACGGATCAAAGCGACTTTGTCTGCAAAGAACCGAGCAAATGCTTCACAGCATGTGGCCGAATTGTCAGGGCTCCCGCCTGGGATGGCGGGAGTTAAAAGACCTCTGACAATCCGGAACAGCTCCGCCGGACGGTTCCTTGCAGACGCAATAGTAG